GCCATACTTTTGTGCTGATGATACTAAGTTTCTTTGTGTAAATACAAACAAGTTGCTGATAGAAACAGATCTTTCTTACATTTGCAGTTGGTCGCAACAAAACATGATAAATTTTAAAGTTGATAAATGTGTGGCGATGACCTTCTCGCGCTCGTCGAATCTAAAAGACTGCCAATTTGTAGGTGCCCCCAATCGTTTTTGCACAAGAGCACAAAGACTTGGGTCTCTATATCGCTGACAATTTGAACTGGGATGCTCATGTTGATGAAAAGTGCAGTAAAGCAAATAAAGTGTTCTTCATGATGAAGAGAAATTCTCCTCACTTTTCCGTGAAAAGCAAACTCAATCTATACAAAACAATGGTGCTGCCCATTATGATGTATGCGAGTTGTTGCTGGCACGCCTCGGTCCGGTCAATGAGAAATCTCGAAGCAGTTCAGAAGCTAATAACGAGGTGGATTCTCTCACATTGTGAAAATTACAGAGAGCGTCTGTTGTTTCTCAACCTTCTCCCTGTTTCGCTTTAATTGCAACTCACGGATTTGTTCATGCTGTCAAAGCTTATTGCTGGTTGCTTTGATTTTGATTCTTCTGCACATCTGGCATACAGAATGAACTTCAGACAAAATAAACTTGAATTCAATGTTGAGCGTTCTCGTCTATCAAAAGGAAATACGAATTTCTGGTGTCGTGCACCACGACTGGTGAACAATCTTCCTGCAGCGATAGATTTCTTCAATCCCATTTGTCTTAAAGGAAGACTTATTAGTTTTCTCTGGTGCTTCTTTAGTGAAAAATACAATGAGAAAGTTTCGTGCTCCTGGAAGCTAGCTTGTGACTGTACTAAAAACGGTTGCCGTTTTTCTGTAAATTTGTATCTGGGGGAACCCCCTTTGTAAACTTCATTACATAAATTCCTCTTAATAATCATAATCATAATATGTATGAAAACTTTGAAAAAATTTTTTTTTAAGTTTTTCATTTTTTTTTATTTTCTTTGGTTTTTCTAGTCATTTTTCTTTTCAAAAAACTGTTTTTCAATTGACCTAATTTACTATGACTCTCAAATATGCCAAATTCAAATTTTTACCTTAGACTTTTTTATCACAACCTTTGAAAAAAAAGGCACCAACTGGTAAAAAAAAATATTTTTTTTTTGTTTTTTTAGATTGTGGTCGGAACATTCTGTGCTACTTGCACTGTAACCGGTTATTCTTGTTATCTTTTCTTTGCAATAACAGTTGCGTTTATTATGACACATATTTTCTTACTTTAGCTCATCAAAGGTCTACATTTAGCTATTAAAACCTGTGAGCAAGCTTTATTTTTCAGCTGTGTTTTCGCCCAACTGGATTCCAAAATAAAGTCGAAGTTGATGCTCATGTTGAATTATGGACTCTTTGGATTCACTCTCATGATATCTCTTCTGATCACGAACCTACTCAATGTGAACAGATACTTGGCTATTTGCCACCCAGCAGAAAACAAACAGTATTTCACCAAACAGAACATAAGGAAGATACTCGCTGTCCTCATTGCCGTCTCCGTTATGCAAGGTAAGAACTTTTGCATCGTCTTAACTATATATCTACATAAAGAGCTAAATCAACAGCAATGGGTGGGTATAGTTAACAAGATTCGATTTTGTGTGTAAATTTTTTTTAGCTCAAAATATAGACGGAGTTCCGTTTTATTACAAGAAGCTGAAATAATCCATTAACTTCATGCAGGAGAGGATCTAAAATCCCAGATTTTTTGTTCTTTCAATTGGTCAATGAACTCTCCAAAAAGATTTATAAACACCACGCTTTGCAACAGAACAAAAAACATATATCAAAATTTTTTAAACAATCAAAAGCAATCGATGATTTTGGTTTTCTTTTTAGGAAGATTTTGACGAGACAAAAAGTTCTGACAAGTCTTCGCGTTTTTTCCGGGTCCTATGCTTATTTCTTATAGATAATTAAACTGAGTGGGAATAAGTTGTAAAATTTTTTGAATTTGTGTCGAAATCAGGGGCGGGTCTAGAATTTTCTCGAGGAGGTTTTCAAAACACTTTTTCTATGAGGACCATAGAAAAAGTGAGAGCTCGGAAATCTCCTACAACCAAATTTCCGAGCTTTCCTAAAACACAATTAACCAATAATTTCTGTTCTGTAGGCAAATTTTTAAAAACCAGACCAAAAACGACATTTTAGACCAAAAATTGTGTTTTTGGGGTTCCCTCCCCAATTAAAATTACAAGTTATTATGGCGCGCGCCTTTACAAACATTTCTGAGTGATTCGGATGAAATTTGGTGTCGTTAAATAGTAACTAATGGCGGCGAGGAGTCAAATCCCTGAGGAAGAGCCGTTTTTCGAGCCCTTTTTTAGATGTACCCATTTTGATTGCAGGAATAATGAATGGAGCGTACGTGTTCCTCGCAGATTGGCAAACTGTGATCGACTACGAGTTTTTCATTCTATTAGATGTCCTGGTTTTATTTACAATCACGTCCAAGTGCATCATATACGGCAAATGCTACCACTACCTGAAGAGACATGACAAAAAACTTGAAGCGTATGACCAGAAAAGCGGAGCCAGTTGCACTATGTCTGCGAGAACGCCGCCGGTCAATCCGAAAATCATGACAAGTCTGTCGTTGCCCGAAACTCCCAATGTACCAAGAAGAGCTAAAAGGTTCAAGAGGCCAAATAAACCGACGCGGAAGGATCAGAACTTACATGAAGCTTCCAAATCCGTTCAATCAAGGTTGGTTCATTTTTTCAACATACTAATTTGATGCATAGAGTCTTTTGTCTATCAGCTCATTGTAACTTCAGTAATTCAAACATTGCTTGTTCTTAAATTCATCATCCTCTATGAGATGAGAAACTTTGCACTCATTTCAGTGCAAGTTTTTTTTAAAAGTAATATGGGAAATACTCTGAATTAGCCATTATTTTTATAACAATATTTTTAAACAAAACCAATGAAAATGTGGGCTAAATAGTGGCAAGAGCGCTCGCTGTAGACCACCAAATTTTTGCCGTTTTTATAGCTCAGGGGCGTCAAGTGGGGACAATGTGCCCAAACTTCATAAATCAATCTCAGTGTCATCCGCACTTCACAGAATAAACCGAAGACACAGATCCGAGGAGACTTCGAACTCGTCTAGGACGGTTAAAAGAGGGCGAACTCGAGCTGTCACAATCGCCTTCTTTTGTGTTTCTTTTTTCTTCATTGTAAGTGTCATACCTTTGACGATATCTCTCAGCTACGAGAACCTCTCCAGCCGAGGATCACAACCGTCGAAAAAACTTCAATTAGCTCACATATTTTGCCGAATCATTTTCCTTTTCCATTTCATCACCAATCCAATCATTTACATGGTGACTAATCCTTCATTCAGGAAAAAGCTAGTGACAGATGCGAAGTTTATCGGCAGAGTTATGGCTAGCAAAATGAGGGTTTTAAGACGAAAAGATTTCTCTACGATTACGGACACGACACTTCCGAAAATATCGATCAATCCGCCCTCAATTGTCAATGCAAGCACGGTCGTTTAGATGCAAGCACGACCATCGATCATGTATGCAAGAGTACGATTTTTAAAATTTGGGTTAGCTTTGGGTTTTTTTATTTGAGTAACTTTTTATGTTTCGTTTACCATTTACTGCCAATTAATTATCATTTACCCTATGTCAGATTAGAAAAATAAACTTCTGTTTTCAGCGATATTGAAAAAAGTTTTACGTCAACCATAAAACGTTTCCTTAAACGTTCCCTGGAATTATTGATTTTTAGGGGGACTAAAATTTTTCTAAAGGCCGTTTTTAGAGCCATTATATGCTACATTTTTGAGAGGAACGCGCTACAAAAACACCATAACATTCCAAAAAGCCTTAACACGTAGTTTTTTTGTCTGTTCCTTCAAAATGTTGCGGCGCATCAATTTTTTGGTTAGAATAGGGTCTTTTGAGTGATTTGAGATAGAATCAAGCAAGTTTTCGATGAATAATTTCCAATAATTGCCCAAGAACGTAGTCTTTATTTTCTAAAAAAAATTGAAAATTTTGTCGACCTTTTTTTAGTTCGACCAAACTGATTTTTTGAGCTCTCCCAAATCACTATAATGACCCCATTTCGACCAAATGTTCTGCACCGCAGGCAAGTTTTTCAAAAAACAGGCCAAGAAAGGCATTTTTAGGCACTTTTTGGAAAATATTGACCGAAAAATTGCGTTTTTTCGGCGAGCGATCACCCCTCAAAATTAGTACATATTGGCTCCAAAGGCGCCTTTAGAAACATTTTAGGATCAGTCAGCCAAAAATGGATGTCTCAAAATAGTAGAAAGGGGTGACCTTTTGGTTCGGCAGGGGGTCGAATCCCTGAGGGGGTGGGGCGTCCGCCCCCCATCCTAAATCCGCTACTGGTCTTTAGGACTTTCTCCCCGAGATGGGATTTCCAAAAATTTTTTCGACTTTTGTTAGGCCAACCAAATGATTTTGATCAGGCAAAGTTTTAAAGTTTTTAGTGACAATAATTCATTTGCCAGTTTTCTTGGAGCTGTATGTCAAAAAATGGTGATTGGCTTGTCTGGAAGGACCTTGAATTGAACTATATGCGGATGAGACCTAATCTTACAAAAGCCAAGTGAATGCGGAAAAAATTACAACCAGTATGGCAATATTTCATAACCACTCTAAGAAAAAAGTCCTAAGTTTGCTCAGTACGGTAAAACGGCTGTTTTTGATATTAAACTAGCAACCACGAGAGCTGATTTTTGTCCCGACCATTGAAAATGGGGAGAAACTTTGTATTCGGGTGTGTTTTGTTTTTTTTTCTTTTTTTTTCCACGCAAAATCAGGTAAGACAAACAATCATCGGGCTGGGCTGAGTGATATCTCATACTAAAGTCATTACAGTCGTGATTCGAACAATATTTAAAAACTTCGAAAAATTTTTCCCAGTGTCGAGAAAAACCGGAGTAATTAATTAATTGCTTAAAAGCTTAGAATAGCCTAATTTACAACGTAAAAACTTAGTTATACCTGGGTAACGTTAGTTTACTTTGAGTATTTTACTGCTTTTTGAAATCAAATCCAGTAATTTTTCTAAAAAACTGTTTTTCATTTCGCTAGTTTTAGTACGGCTGTCTAATATACCTAATACTCAGTTTCTTTTTCAACTCCTTTTTTTTACACCACACCAAAGAAAAGGAACAGTATCTGAAAAAAATTGGTTGTTTTTTCAAGACTGTGGTCAAAACATTCTGTGCGACTGGTTTGGTATTAAAATTAGTGAAGAATTTTTGCAAAGATTAACTCTAGAAACGACCACTCGAAAGGCACTTTGATTACTTCTGTGCGATTATAAATTTAGCCTAACCAATCAAGGATGGTTAAAATGCAAATTTTGCCAGAGTCTGCATAATCTTTGAAAGATTATATATAACTCTAAGAGATCTTGCAGCATCTTGCAAGATAAACATCATGCAAGATAACCACAACTGCAGGCAACATTTGAAAGAAATTAGCAGCACAAGGACAACCAAATAAGAATCGTGGAAAAAGTTTTGCCCCAAAAATTTTTTTCTGATAGGGCGGGGTGATATTTTTAAACTTTGGTCGATCAGAAGACTCCAATTTCTAGCAAAAAGTTAAAAATTATTGGTAAAACTCGAAACATAAGATGAAAGAATCATGAATTAATAAAAAAAGCAAAGCAAAAACCGCAAGATGAATCTAAGATTTTTGAATGTTTTTCTCTTTTCTTTATATTGAATTTTTTGTCCTCATTTCTGTTTTTGCAATTCCTATGCAGTTCCTTGTGATCTGCACTCAGACTTCGAATAATCAATCGTGATAAAAAATGTGCAGCCAAGTACTGGTCTTCTTTGTCAGGGTCAACATATTGTGTGTAATCAGGGGTGTAAAAAAAACAGCTTTAAAAATTGCAGACTAAATTAATTTTTTTTGTGACGCTAGCATTGAATAATTATCAACTGTGTAGCACAATTTTTTTCTTTTAAAAAGTATTTTTTTAATTGAAACAATGAGTCTTAGGAAAACAACTTTTGCACAAAAGCATTAAGTTTCGCACAATTTCTTCACTAATTAAGTCACAATTCCTTCTTTAAGTGACCCAAAATTTCTTTGTTTTTCTTGAAGAATATCATCTTGGAGGGCTGAAAAATTTATAGTAATTTCTATTTTGGTGTGCACGTCTCAGATGTCATTATTGAAAAAAAATCAGATACGAATTGCAATGGAACTGTTTGATTAAACAATTTTCAGCCTCAGGAAATGCATCAGTTTCTAGCTGGAATAATACTTGTATTCAGCTATTTTTCAAAATAAATTCACCAACAAAAAGCATTCCATTTTCTAACTTTTAAAACAGCAATTTAATTAATAAAATTGTCTTAAGGTTTAAAAAAATATCCGAAGCACCTCGAGTTTATGATGTTTTTGTTTTTCATTCCAGTAAGCTATCCAATGAAATATTCCGCAAAACAACTAATATCTAAACACTGGATACACTGAGACCTTATTTTTGATCAATACTGAGCTTTATTTTTGTTCAAACGATTATAACAAACAATTCTGAAACGACATTTTTCGACCGATTCTACTTGTTTAATTGAAAGAACGAAGTTCACTAATTTCGTTTCAAGATGTTTGTTTTAATGACATACTATTAGAAATAAGGCAATAACTTTAGCGAAACAAAATTCGCAAAAAGCCAAAAAATAGCAAAGTCAAAAATTTATCTCACAAAAAGTTGAAATTACAAATCATATAGTCAAAACCATTTCAATCCTTTCTCATTAAACTTAGTTTCCTTAAAAAATGCCACCCTTGGAATTAGCACACTTTGACACAATTCTAGTGCGCATCAAGGATGCCAAGAAACTATGTCAAAATAACAGATTTTCAACCAAAGTTTTTTTTGCTAAACCTCTGGAAATCAAATAGGGAACATATGTCAGATCAATAATCAGCCTAATTTTTTATCTAACCAATACAGAAATCACGTCTCAAGCTATGCTTGAAGTGTGTAGTTCTTAAATAGTATGTCTTAACTGGAGCGAGCAAGAGATTTAGAAATTGAGCTTTTCTTTTCAATTTATTTTGAAATCCTAACCACATCGACGTTTTTAAGAACCTTAAAAAAATCAATTTTAGCAAACAAGCAGAGAGATGAAGATGAATTTCAAACACTTTTACAAAAAATGGCCAATGCGAAACCTTTAAAAAAACAAGAAAGAAAAAACAAAGTAAGGAAATAAGTCTTGAAAAATTAATAAATTGACAATACCTGAAGTTAGTCTTAAAACCTTCTGACAACATATTTACACTCTCTATCAACTGCCCGATATCTAATTGGTTCTTAAAACCCTAGCCACAGAGACAAAATATTTTAACACATGCTTACCAACTGCCAATAGTCGCACTATTAGTTTGGAATTCGGTAAGAAAAAAATGGCCTGGTAGAATAAAACAAGCATTGCCGGCACAAGTACAAAATTTCCACAAACATAAACTCGACGCATAGAATTTTTCCGCTTTCAAAGCTTACGTTTTTGCAATTTTTTCATGTTTTCATGATGGTTGAAAAATCTTGCAAGATAGCCATCGGCTTGTAATAATCTTGCGAGATAAACAGTATCTTGCAAGATCTTGCAAGATAATCATCATTTGCTAGAATCTTTCAAGATCTTGCAAGATCGCCATCTTCTATCGATTAGGGTAGACTATCGAACTTGAGTGGATGGTAACAGTGTCAGTAAAATTTGCTATGTCTGTGGATTAAAGTAGCAACAATCGTGTTATCAAACTTTGAAATTTTATGTACTCGGATTTAAGCCGCAAAAAAAGTTTTTGATGGGAGGTTGACTAAGCTGTAAAACAGCATTTTTCGAGTGAACCTTCGAACAATTGATGGGAGGTTGACTAAGCTGTAAAACAGCATTTTTCAGTTACCTTCGAACAATTTTGAATTTAGTCACAATTTGCCAATCTCTCGATATGCGCAGACTTTTCAGAAACTCGAAACGTTTCTCAAAGGATTGTTATGATGGGCAAACAACTCTCTTAAAGTGATTTTGCCATAATCAATTTAAAGCCAAAACTTCAGCAGTTAGATACATCGAAAAAAAAATGCGTTGAAATTTGATGGTGAAAAGTTTGATTGTGGGAAGATCTCGTTTTAGAACAAACGAAAACCGACGCAAATCTTTGATTAGCGCTGTGTTTGTGAAAAAAAATACAACCACTTTTGCAGATTCAAACTAACACCCTAACATATTTGTTTTTGAGCTAGCTCCAAATCAGCGCTGCAGCAAAACTTTCGTTTTGTCGTTGAATTAGTTTTTAGATTACTGATTTTCGAGTATAAAAACACGGGTCGACGTGCTGGATTTATGTTTCCACTATGAAATTCAAGCAAAGCAGTTTTGCTACCAAAATTTTACGCAGTCGAAATATTGTTTGAGCAAAAACTAAAGTTTCAAACAACATTCTTTTGAAGATTACTATTTAATTTAAACTGATTGCAAATTTCTGACTCAGCAAGAAACTGAGCAAAAAAATCTTGCTCACCAAAGACTGCTCAGAAAAGACCTTTGTCAGAAAGTTGCAATCAGCAACAATCATTTCAGGAGAAAACTGAAAATTTCTGAAAAAAGATAATTTTTTTTGAGGTTTGAGGCTTCCCGTTGTAGAAAAATTAAAACCATATCAGAATTTCCCTAAACATCACTTTCAGACCATCAGTTTTATCCCAAATTTGTACAAAAAAACTCTATATCAGTCTTAAAAATTTATTTTTTCATGCCAAAATGTCGCAATTCACTGACTCTTGTAGTCTATTTTCAGTTCAAATATCTTCACAAAAATTAATTTAAAAAGCTCACATTATAGTTTTTTTGCGATTCAATCAAATCAGTTGATGAGACTAAGCTCAACAGTCTAAGTTCAAATTTAAACTCACTTTTTTGTGACCGAGAGAGTTGAGTAATCATTACATATCCCACTGTTATTCGCGCCGTTTGAAATGATCTCAGATGGATCAAATAAGTTTCAGAATTTTTTGTCAGTCGAGAAAATCGAAACAGTCAAGAACGTCGCAAATATCGGACTTTGGTCGAGAAAGTCGCAACAAAACTGAGATGGGTCGAAAAAAAGTCAAAAATTGTTTTTATTTGTTTGAGAAAATCGAAATATACCAAAACTTGGTCGAGAAAGTTGTATCATACCAACATATTGTTGAGACGGTCGAATCATACCAGTTTTTAGCCGAGAACGTCGAAACATAAATCGAGCATCTCGACCCGGTGAAATAGTGAACAGAACAATCTTTGCAAAAATAGATATCAAAAACCACCTCATGAAAGGCGTTTTGGTTATTTCGATGCGACTAAGACTATTACAATGATGAATTTCAACTAATTTTGAACATTATTGATTGATCACTTTTTTACTCTATCGAAGTATCGAGCTATTATATCATAGATATAGAATGAAATGAATACGGAATGTTTCATTAAACTAACTCTAGCAAAAATAAAGATTTTGCTTGATCAGAAGAAAAGGTCAAAGTTTCAATTTTTTGAACCAATATACTAATGAGAACACATTGAGATAAAACACATCCGCTCTATAATATTTTATGGCTCAGCGCTGGAAAAATTTTGATACAAATTTTACTGCACCGCAGTGGTGCAATTTTTCCTAGTAAGAACGAAGCTTTCCAAAATTTTGGTTATTAACGCTGACGCGAAACGCAGATAAAAAATCATAAATGACTGTTAGTGCTGTAAGAAAAAAAATATATATATATATATATATTTTTAAATATTCATTTGTTCATTGGTTCAGGTAAGGTTGAAGTTTTAGAAATTTTTCTTCATTTAATTAGGTTAAGCAAAATTATTATTTAAAAAAATCTCAATAAAAAACAAGACTGCTCGTATCAGGGCGAAGCCCTCAAAGGTACGACTGCATTTGGAGTTCTATGAAGTAGTGTTCGTTTTCTAGAAAAAAAAATTTCAAAAGAGTTTTTGAGATTTTTTGGAAATTATCTTTGCACACGCAAAATGAAGTACGAGGTGATACTATTGCATATAGCAAAGTATAAAATGACCAAAGGGAATGGCTCAACTCATCTAGGAACGAGTTCTAAGACGGTTTGAATCTTCGCTCACTCGTTATAAAGAACATATTGCGCATTTATGACACAAAAATACCAAAATAGCTCAATTGTAAATTTTTAAACGGCCAAATTTTAAATCACAACATTTAAAAAACAATTACAGCTGAACTCAACCAGCCGAAAGCTTACCGTTAAATTACCGTGGTCGACGATACTAAGGTCGACGATTCAACCGGACAAATCTTTCCGAATTGATTGAGGCAGGTTGATTGGTCCCTTGCTAGACGCAAAAAATGCTTTTCTGTTTGTCATTCCGCAAGGGGTAGTTAGATTTATTTTAAGTTCAGATCCACTCAGAAGCAACGGAACACTCAAAGCTTTGGCCTGACACCAGCAAGATTGATTTCTATAAGGCATTTAGGTCAAAACCTTCATTAGAATTTTCCAACTCGGATAAATGGATCGTTTAAACAGTGACAAAAAATGGCAAAAGCATCAAACTTATGCATCATTGGCAAGTAGTGAACGCTTAATCAGCTGGCTTTACATTTCGCTCGAGAAGTAGCGCGTGTGAACCAGTCTTTTGTTCAATTTAGTTTTCGGCTACTTGATTTTGCAGCTCAGTAATGCGAGTTTGTTTGGTTTCTTTCGATTGAGTTACATCTGGTTAAGAAACATGTAACAGCGTCTCATATATTTGATCGTTCCCACTTTCGTACCAAATTTAACGGATTATTTGCGCTCGGGGTGGGTTTTTCTTCAGACAAATTTCCACTTTTTAACTAGCCATTTTTGACGGAATTGCTTATATCATTTGAAAGCTATTGTTGTCCTGAGCTTAAATTTGAAAAAATTTTTCAACTGTGATCATTTTTCACAAAGTTATGGGGGCTTAAAGATTGCCATTTTGGCCAACTTGGGACAATTAACGCGCGATATATTTCGAGCTATTAACGCGTCAGCGGAGTTGAATCCGTCTTAGAAATCGTTCCAAATTGCTTCAAGGAAGCTTATATGCCATAATTGATTTGTTAATAAGAGCAAAATCTATCATTTTATATAGCAAAAATAGCAAAAATAGCACTTAATAGCAAAAAAAACCTTAGAAAGTGCTACAAAAACGAGCAAAAAACTGAAGTTCACGGCCCCTCTTGTTATATACAGAATATCAGTTCTTTGCAAGGTTGCTTCAAACTTAGATTGAAATTAAAATCATGATTTCACCATGTTCTCATGACTCAACCTCAAAGTTCCGACTGCCTCTTAAGGTCTAATGAACAGTAATATCATTAAAAAATTAATTTTTATAAAAAAAAATTAAAATTTTTTCAAAAAAATATTGAACATTTTTGTGAAAACATCCCCCCTCGCACGCCATACTGACGTCTTGAGCTCAATTCAAAAAAAATCTTTTCCAATTGCTTTGTAAAACTGTACTGGTACGAAAATTGCCGATGTGACTAAATTGGGACAATTAATACGCAAAAATATTGGTTTTGCAAACGCGTGAGCAAATCGATCTAAATTGATTTGAGACAAGCTTTTTGAATTAATATATTTTTATCAAATTCTGAGTTTCATCATTTTTTTGAAAAAAGAACATGGCGCATTCAATCTACCTTAAAATGAAGCATGTAAGCGACACACATGAACAAGTGTGTTATCCTAATATATTGAATCAAGGCCGTTTTGGTCTTGATTCGACTTCCAAAAAATTTTTTTTAAAGTTGTCTCGAAATGTGTCAAGAAAACAGATTTAAATTTTCTGCTGGTCAGTTACATTTTTAGTGGAAATCGAAAAACTAATGATCATTTTTCATTTCAACATTCAGCTTGTTGTTTCTTTCATTGTTCCGACTTTCGATACGAAAGTGACGGAATATTTGTGCTCGGGGTGGGTTTTTTTTTCTTCAGACAAATTTCGACTTTTTAACTAGCCATTTTTGACGGAATTTTTTTATATCATTCAAAAGGTGTTGTTGTCCTGAGCTCAAATTTGAAAAGATATTTCACCTGTGATCATTTTTCGTAAAGTTATGAGGGTTTAAAGATTGCCATTTTGGCCAATTTGGGACAATTAACGCGCGATATATTTCGCGCTATTAACGCGTAAGCGGAGAGTTAATCCGTCTTAGAAATCGTTCCAAATTGGTTAAAAGAAGCTTATTTGCCATAATTCATTTGTTACAAGGAGCGAAATTTATGCTTTTGTACTTTATATGGGGGTGTGGGGGGATAATTTTTATTTGAAAATTTCAAATTTTAGAAGAAAAAAAATTTCCATTTAGTTTTATTTCATTTAATTTTTTAATGTTATTACTGCTCCATAAACTTTAAATGGCAGTCGGAACATTCAGGGCTTCGCCCTGATACGAGCAGTCTTGTTGGATCTTATTAACTATTTTCCCCCCTATGGTACCTTGTAACGAATCTCCCCCTATAAAAAAAAGAATTGCACAATTAAGCATATACGATTTTTGTACCTTGGCAACTAACTCCTCTCTCCTATTGCTATAGGGGGGATAATTAGCAAGCTCCCTTTCATTTATTTTGGCGGATTTATAGTTCGCAAATTTATGGAAAAATGCAAAAAAATTCATATTTGAACTATTTAAATTCAATTTTTTTCTTTTGATCTAGTTTTTTGCAATGATAACCGTGGTCGTAAAATTCTGCGCTACTTTCACATTGACAGGCTATCTTGTATTTATGTCGCTTTGTTAACCCACAATTTTTTAGTGGGTGATAAAAGAAGGTACTAATGATTTCATATGTAGAACTCTACTACAGAAAAATTTGCCAATTTTTTTTTCTGTTTTTTGTGGAACAAATGTTCAGACCTCTGCTGAGAATTCCACATTCTAAACTAAATCTCAAGATGCCATTTGGTTCGTCATAGGTATAGCTTACATCTAAAGTTAATTAAAAGTTATTTTCTCCCCAAATGATAATATTGATGTTTTAAATAAGTAGTTTTTTCGCAGTCTTTTTTTTTGTGTTTACCATCGTCCGTCCAAGGATTTATGTTGATTGAATCTGAAATTTGCAAAGCTATTTCTGGGGTCCAAGTTGTTCATAGGAACGGAAGTTGCTGCACTTCCCCCCGTCGTGAACAGATCTGAGGGCGTGGCAGAATGGGCGTTGGCAGTGTTTTGGGCGGAGGCAGCGCCTGCGGGGGAGGAGAAGAATGAAGAGGCGGCCGCTGCTGACATCAAAGACGGGTGGGCGAATGCACCGCTGCCCAAAAACGACATTCTGAAACAGTGACAAATGTTTCTGAAATTATTGTATTTATTTTTTGGAAAGTAGTTTTTACTGAACTAGAGGCTTAGCGAACTTAAGCTCAAAATTAGGTGGTTGAGAAATGGAGTGAAACTTGCGCATTATTTCCTGTTTGGATCAGCAATTAAAATAACACTTTCTCGTCCTTAACAACTAAAATATCCTTGAATATATAAAATATTCAAAAAATTAAAAAGCAGTAATTTTAGTGTAGGAAATTTCAGTGTAGAGTTTTTTAATTTCAAGAATTTTAAACTTTAACGTTCAGGACATGTTTTTTTTCTGATTCTTGAAAAGATGGCGCTACAACCCATAAAAGGAACAGTATCCGGTTTAAATCATTCTGTTTCCTGATTAGTCAGTTAAAGTTACTACTTTAATAAGTCTATGCTATGAGCCTTCTCCTTCAATCAATAATAAGAAGAGTTCGTTTCCGGATACGCTCTTAATAAGGGCATACTATCAGAGGTTTAAACTCGATAATGTCGCTGATAACATGTTTGATACAATAACTTAGCCACTCGCATGTTTTATCAGAAAGAAAACAGGACTGATCGTATAGCAGGGCGAAGCTCTGAGTGTTCCGACTGCCCCTTAAAGGGTATCGAATAGTTGTTGGTAAAATTGTATTTTACAACCAAAACTTTGGACATAAGTGAAGTCTTCACATCGCGCATAAATTAGTTCAAAGCTGGCCAAGTTGGCGGGGGTGTAGCGATTAGCATGTGTGCCTATTAGCATGCGATAATTGTTTAAACTGGGTGTGCTTTCAGAAGAAAAGCAAATTAGCCTAAAATTTCAAATAATATCGAAAACGAGGTGATTTGTTACGGGATTTAATATTTCATTTTCATTTATTTAAAACTTCGGCTGAGTTCACGCTGTTCAAAATTTGAAATTTGAGTAAGCAAAACAAAAAACGGCGAACCTTCAAACTATATTATTTTACATGGGCATGCTAATCGACACAGTTGCTAATAGGCCCGCCCCTCAAATTGGCAGTTTTCAGACCCCAGAACTTTACAAAGATTGGAATGTAAAATATCTTTTTAAGTTTGAACTCAGGTAGAGTTGATATCTTTATGTGCGTATAAATAATTTTCGTTAAGAAACTATTATTTTGATCGGCAAAAATTGACTGAATAAGAAAATCCCCCTGGGCAGAACCGTTCTGCATTTTTTCAACAAAACGAAGAAAAAATTTTGAGTAAGGTCGAGTTTTTAATTCAAAAAGGTTCAGAGTACCAAAAAACGTTAGTTTTGGTACATCTATACGCGTACCCTGGGAATTGTGGCGTTTGATTTGAAGGCGTGAACTGGGATCCAGGGACCATCGAGTTAGATCCCATCTGCTGCGCGACGGAACTCTGAGGGAGACATCCGTAACCGGCAACTGCCACCTTCAACGAGAACAACTTTAAGTGCTGATGATTTTTCACACAACTCAACAAATCGATAAATCATTCATAACTTTTTAAATACTGTTTGTTTTGGGCGTGCTTAGCGTAGCGTGATGATGTGAATGCAAGGAAAGGCCATGGTGACTAATTCAGCCCCAAAAAAATCGAACAACTCTTTTAAGAAAAATTCTTTTTGCTAGTTCACTAGCGCGAAAGATAAAAAACACCATTAAAAGCCGCAGTTTATCATGAGCCGCATTAGTGGTAAAGCAACTCAAATAAAATTTTTACAATTGATTCTGTTGTTAAGATTCTGTATCCACTATTGTGAAACAAAAAATCTTACTGTGTAAGATCAATCGAGGGGTAGACTTTTGACTTGATGCGCTGCAACTAAAGTTGGTACCTGTTGGGCGGCCATGATATAGTTGGGGAAGAAGGAGGCTGCTGCGGCCTGTGCCTGTTGGTGGGGGTTGGAGGCGGCAGAAGCCGAGAGGGAAGAGTAGGGGTTGGCGCTGTTTCCGCCCAGAAGAGTGCTTCCCGCTGCACCCGCCAGATGTCCAGGCGCTGCTCCGGAGGCGCCGCTGTAAGGCCACGTACTTGAAAGCTGCTGAAACCAAACTTTTCAGAATCATTTGGAAAACATGCACAAAATACGTAGATTATCATAATTGAATTTATACGTAAATGGTTTTCTTTGTTTTGGTAGAATTTTCCTTTTTCATACACCTTTCAATTCTATGGTACTTTTCTGATTTCTTTGATTTTCCTCTGATTTCGAATTTATCGTATTTTACAAACTGACCAAAAGTTCTTTTAAGAAAATGTTTACTTGAGTGATGACATCGTTGCGATGAGCTGCGAGAGAGGCTTCTGCGACTGCGTTACCTCCGCCAGGATTGAAAGGAGTCCCCCCTCCACCTCCCGAAGAGTGGAAGCCAGAACGCAGCTGCTGGTGTTTCTCCTTTTTACGCCACTTCGCTCTCCGGTTTTGAAACCAAACCTGGAAATTCAAAGCGATGGTTTTTTGGCTTTTTAGCCACAGAAAACACTACTTGAAACAGTCTGAGAACTTGAAGTGTACAATTTTTTTCGATAAAAAACAACTTTAGCATAACAATTGAATATCCCATTCACAACGTCTAAAAAGGTTCTTACTAAAACGTATGTTGCAATTTGCCATTGCTGAAAAATTAATCAGTAAGCAAGCTAGAAGAGCCGTTTTTCAAACATTTGCCACGTCAATTTATCCGTACTTGCATAATAGTTATATAACATGAGCGCAACTTTCAAATTAAAATAGGATTCTTGGAGTCAGTCTTGAACCTAGGCAAGTTGCACAGAAAACATTGAGGTATTTATTTTACAAAAATTGCACTTTCAGCAAAAATAAACACTTTCTCAGGTTTTTTCTCAATTTTTTCATCGATTTTTTTTAAACACAAAATTTTGCGCGGGATGGGCGGTGACGATCTTAGCACTAGATTTGAGCACCAGATGTAAACAGCTTGTGAAAGCTTAGAATCATTGTGGGTAAGTTAGCCCAAACGTATGGGGGTCTATTCTCGTGCGCGAAGGACCGAATGGACGAAGGATCAAAAACAAAAACAGTCGAAAGACTATGATTAAAATGAATCGATTGCGGTTCGAACAAAAGAAATTAAATAAAACAATAGTTTGCTTCTTTCATAATGACACCTTTGAAATATAAAAAATTTTCCAGTTCACCGGTGGTCAAGTGACATTTTGAAAATTTTGCATATTTCTGCCGTTTTATGTTCGGCCCCTCTTTATATTAAGTCCCAGGAAATATTAGTTTTCTTAGAGTTTTTCACGCTTTGGAATTTCGAAATACTGGAATCAGATTGTTTGTTTTTTATTTTTCCGATTTGGTCCTTCGCATATAAGGGATTCCACATATTTAAGCTCTTAGATACTTTAAAAAAAAAGGTCACTGGTATTTTTTAGCGTTCGATATCAATACCATCAATACCAACCCCATAGTTTAAAAAAAGTTTCATCAAACGGGCCAGTTAAAGAGTCAAAAGTTGTTTTGAGAAAAAACACCAACTGATCACAAATACTCTGTCACTTTCTTCGAAAGTCGGAACAACAAAACTTCACATTTATTAGGGAAAAAACCCTGAACCAAGAACTAAACAACATTTTGATCATGCATCATTAAAGCTGCAGAAAACGATTTGATTTGAAAACAATTGATTAAGTGAAATGGATTTTTTTAAATACTGTTGTAAAAACAAATGGTTTTTTTTCGGTTCATTCGATAGATTTAAAAAAACATCAAGTGTATTTACTATCAAGTGTATTAGTAATCAAATTTCAAAGCATATAATGATAAATAGCCGATTCGGCCGGTTGCTGGAAGAAAGTGTCCAAAAATATCACCAATTTTTGCGAAATGGGTTAGAAAAAACATCTTTCGCAATAGAAAACTATGGGTAGATATTTGCTGAAAATTTTTTTACCTGAATCCACCATAAGGTAACAAAAAATGTTCGCTGGTGAATTTGTTGTAATTGTGAAATTTTGGACACCATCATTTTCCAGATGGCCAAAAAGAATTCCAAAATAGATTGTTAAAAATTCTTCAGTATTTCCCTTGACAAAAAAACACCCTGACCATAACAGAAAGAAGCATGTTGAGAAAAGCCTGCGGCCACTCTTGCACTAAAAAATGGAAATGAATGAAAACAAAAAAAATAAACAAACTCTTTTGAGAATTTGAATTACTGAACCTGGCATCCTTAAAACAAATGCTGCAATTTTAGGGGAAAAGTTGTACCGTTTTAATTGATTCAGATTTCATGCCAAAACATCTCTAAAGCGATCTCTATAAATCAGATATTTGCTTTTTTGGAAAACGTTTTTTCACGAATATTTGATTAGTTTGTCGACCTTTTTAGGGTGAAACAGTCTATGTTTTTGTTTACTTTAGTCGCCCAAAAACAGACTCTTGCATGCTAGCGGCGTCCTCCCAATCCATATTTTTGTAAATAAGTAAATAAGAAGCCTGTGATTATAATGGTAACATTAGGTTAGAAACAATTTATTCTGATTATTATGTCGACCAAAAAAGATTTGCTAGCGCTGCGAGAAAACTATAAGGAACCTATATTGACAAAATTTTCTGCGACGCAGGCAATTTAAAAAAAACGGGTCAAAAATGCAGTTTTTGAGCCCTTTTTTGATAATTTTGGCTTTAAAACAGCAATGTTTTTGGCGCGCGCTCCTCCATGAAGTTTAGTATATATTGGCGCCGAAGGTGTCTTTTGAAAAGTTTTAGGGCCAGTCAGCCATAAATGGAGGTGCTAAAATAGTACCAAGGGGGAACTTTTTGGGTAGTCAAGAGATCCAACCCCTGCTAAATCCCCAGCTGCAACCAAGAATTACTTTCCTCATTAAAGTTGAATACAAACAAAAATATAAGTTGAGTAAAGAAATCTATCCCTCTGAATAAAACACCATAGTGTAAGACTTGTTCCAAAAACTATTGTGCGCAGTTTTTGTGATGGGTTTCCAGTAACTGGAATGGTAACCGCTGTCTGCTGCCTTATTTAAAAATTGCCGTTAAATATAAAATGTTCTTTACCGCAAGTTTTCTCTGTTTCTGTTCTTTAGTAATTTAATTAAATTTTTGTCTAACCTGTACTCTGGCCTCTGTGAGGTCGCACTTGAGTGCCAGCTGTTCCCTCACATAGACATCTGGGTAGTGTGTCTTCTGGAAGATCCTTTCCATCTCCTCCAGCTGACCCTGAACACAGAAAATATTATTTGTAAGCAAAAGAAATAGGCTGCTTTTGAATTTGTATTACTAAAAACTTTCCTAGGGTTCTTTCAATGCAATAAAACTTCGCATAGTGAACAAACTAAAATTTGTGAACATAATCGCCTTTTATACATTTATCGTAACATTTTAAGTATTTAGCCATACTAACACGTAACACAACTTTGAAAATAGAAAGTTTGAATGTGAGAAAAAAGAGAAAAAAGAGGCCAGCCGTTCATTTCGGGCAAAAAGAATTTCCTTATTTTTTGCAGCCAGGAGGTTGATTTTCTTATCCAAGGTGAGGAAAAACATCACAGATTGAAGTTTTTCGACCATACTAGCACTCCGTTTGTTTTTTATACTATTTGAAAAACAAGTTTGGTGGGTTAGAAAATTAAGATCTGGCAGAACTACGGAATCAGTGGAACCTATCTTATTTATAAATTGATATGACTTTATATTAATATTTGTTTAATTATTTCTATGTTTCCTACCTGTGTGAATGTAGTCCGGTTGCGTCTCTTTTTCCGGCTGCGAGTGGAACCCCCGTCTCCTCCTATAGAATCACTGTCCTCAAAATCTTCCTCCCCCTCAAATTCATCACCCTCCCCTGTCTGATGGTCCCGTGAGCGGTCCAGGGTAGCACCACCTTCTGACTTGAGAAGTGGACTAAGTTGTTTGTCTGAAAATCACAGCTAGAGTTAGTTAATTCAACCTCGGCGTATCAATTTAACCTTATTTTGAGCATGTTTTGTTTTTGTTTTTTCAACTATTTTCTTTCACTTTATTTATTCGTTCAAACAATCAACGGAAATTTTTTGAGTCAGTTTTTTGTTGTGAAGCTTGGATCAACCTTACAACTCCTCAGCCACAGGGAGATGAAATGTGGATTTTTCAGAAAGTAATTTTGATGGCAAAATAAGATGATCTAAATAACAAAAAAGCTAATCAAAATTAAATTCGGGTATTAAAGAGTATAAAGTATCTATTCCGAATCAGACATTTTTAAAGCAAAATATTCTGCCCGCTTTTTTAAAATGCAGTTTATACGCAATCAAGTTTTAAAATTAAGAGAGGTTAAGAGAGGGGTAAACTAGAGTAGGTCACTTAGAGGGGGTGCGGTGTGTGAATGTAAGGTTGATCCCGAATTTTTCGAGAATCGAGAAATCTTCTAAAATCCATTTCAGCAAAGGAAATGCAGTTGATTGAGTTTGAAAAACAATGACTTGTGCAGCCAGGTTTCAAAATGTGTACCTACGGAGCCGCATTCTCAGTTTGCGGAAAAGTGTAAATGTTAAGGGACTAAAATTGAGACTTGTCATTTGAAAATTTAAAACAGTAAGCTAACAATTAATTCAAAATATTTTTGTAATTTAATTGTATAACAATTTTGAAATGAAATGAACATTTTTTCACATGAATTAGAAACAAAAATGCCTTTAAATGAACACTGATTGCAGCATTAATAGTGACCATATCCAACCCCACCTATGAATGTCTATTCATTTTCGGGAAATTGTAAACTAATTTTTCGGCAAACTGCGAGTGCGCTCCGTGGAACCCCTTTGCTTTATATCAAAATTTCTCAAAACTTTGCTAATATCAGGGCGAGCCCTGAACTTTCTGATGGCTGTTTCAGTGTCTGATATTTGTATTGATTTTATATGATACACGCAATATCAGAAAAAATGACATTTTTACGCATAACTAAATGTTTGTTACAAATAATTTGCTGATAAATTATGTTGAATTACTTTCTCAGTCATTTTTTTCCACCGCATCCGCGTTTAGAGAAAGTGGAGAGTATTGCAAACATCGCTTATCTTAATTTGACTAAATTAGACATTTGATATCCCTCCCGCATCAAATTTTGGGCTCGACTATCGATTTTAACGGAGTACTGATTGATTATAATCACCAAAATTAGTTACTTAAAGCGTTTATAATCATTCTGCTTTCCAAGAGATTATATTCTCTTATAATCTATTATAATTAATTACAGTTCATACATAAAAATTCTTTAAATCGATTTTAATTGAATAAACACAATTATAATGTTTTTTGTCTCATCAAAAGTATTTTCTATTTATATTCTATAGACGATTAATTTTCTGTGAATAACAGAATCTCTCAAACTGAGATGTATTGTCACTTTTGGTTCGTCTAGACAAGTTTCACAACGAAACGCAAATTTCATAGAGATCCCTTCATTTTATTTGAAAGGTTCCCGCGGTAAGTGATAATAACACTTCCAAAAAATCGTGAAACTAGGACAATGTGTTGATATTTCGGTGGCTACAAAAACTAAAATGTGCATCATGAATCAAGTCTAAATGAAAAAAAAAGAAAAAAAACCGTTTTAAGTTTCAGTCGATTAGAAAACTGCTGAAACGATTTTTCTGTTTTTCAAATAAACCAACATCTATGAAAAGCATAGAATATAAGCAATTCAGAGGCAAGGCCGAAAACAAAATGCGCAAGCAGAGGGAGTGGTAATAGATTAAAATCGATTTTTGAGCATTAAAATCGATTAAAAATTATAAGAATTGATTTTAATTTTTTTCAATGAGAGAGATTACAATCGATTATTAACGAAAAAAAAAATGAAAAAGAAGAGTTTTCATTTTTTTGGCTGACTGTGATTGGAACACCGTGTGCTTCGTTTGAAAGCGCAAGCCTGACGACAGTTCTTGCCTAGAGCAAACAAACTGTTCCATACCTTGTAGTTTCTCTTCTGAGATCTCAACTCCGATTTTGCTCATCTCGACATCTGACTTCAAGCTGTGATTGGTCGCGCTTGCAATCAGGGCCGGACTCCAATAGGGCGCCACTGCTGTTCCCCCTCCTCCCCCTGCTGCCCCCGAACTGGGCAGACAGAAAGGGTTAGTACTCAGGCTGGCACCCGGCGCTACGAATGAGTTCGAGGAGATGTTACTGTGCTGCTGTAAATCCAGAATTGGGTGTCCCGTTAGACTAAGTACTGGTTTGTAGAACGAGCTACTGTTGATAACCATTGAAAATTTGGGCTGATTAGGGAGATATCTTCTTCCTTTTTTCCAAATACTCTCAGAGTTTTATACTGGCTGCAAACTGATAAATAAACAAGCGAATTTTTCAAATTATTTCAACACCTTTTACGAAAATTTTGCTCTAAAAGGAAAAATTAGAGTAACAAAATTAAATTTTCAATCTCATTAAATTGATGTTTTCGGGTGCTGAGCGGCAAAATGGGCCTTGTTGTTTTCGTTTTATTTTTGATTAAGATTTGTCTGCTAGAGTTTTCTGCAACTAGCGGGGAAAATTTGCTTAAACTTTGGTGCAAAGTGGAAAATTATGAGGTATAATATTCTAGGATCTGAGATTTATTTGAGTAAATTGAATCGCGAAATGTGACATGTTTTTCTGCGATAAGTTGTTTCAAGTATTGGCTTTTCAAAACAGGCCGGCGGTATCGATCGTTATTTCGAATAATTCCAATTGTTACTACTTCGACCAAACGCGCTTGACATTAATTAAGTTAGAAAAAGTGTTAATAAATATGTAATTGGAGAATTTATCTTTTAACAGTCACCAACTTCCGTGTTTTTCCTCGCTTTACAACAAAAACAACCACCTTATCCAATCAGATTCCGGTATTGACAATCGCCAACGTCGAGGTGCAATCAAAAAAGCAAAAGTTCTTCAGGAAAGAAACTCTGGAAATTTGGAAACTAAGCCAGGGAAGCTACAATAGCAAACTGGGCAAATCAAGTTTGAGAAAGGTATTATTGTTTTACTAGCGACGGGAGAGGCGAACAAGTCGGAGGAATCCAGAGCACAATCCGGTACTGAGCCGGACAGACCAATTCGATAAATAGTACCTCTTGATTGGTCTATGCTCAATCAACTGCACTTTGCCACCATTACCTTTTCCCAGTATATTCACTGAGCCCAAAAATATAGCTGACTCAATTCGCCGAAATTCCCTTATGGACACTCCTAGGAGTCACAACATCGGCAAGGATACCATAATTTACCGTTGAACATGAAAAATATTGAAGGAATGGGTGGGTCAAGGTCTATTCAATGCGACAAATAATTGCAAATTGTCCAGTTTGTAGAAATGTACAGATTCAGTAAGCTTGTTCGGTTTTGTGGGCGTTCGATTGAGTGGTGCGTTTATGGTTGGGATTGTAGGGAGATCAGGTATAATTGGACGGAGGTTGTGGGGGGTTTGGAATTGGATTTGGACAAGGTGCATGCAGATCTGGGCAGACGACAGACAGTCTATCAGACAGAAGAGTATTGAGGAGAGAAGAAAGGTAAGCTCGGCGTGAGGGCTTCTATCAGTGAAAGCGGCCTAATATTTATATCAGATAATGTGTCAACATTGCACCACACGTCTAATTTAACACTACACACAACACATATTTATCACATATAGCCCTAATTACAAGTACGGCCAAATTTTTACACTACTCCAATTTACCAAACATGGAAAATTAGAAAAATAGACTAAAATTATGTTTCCCAATAAATCAGGTTTCTTGGGCTCCTGGGTGATCCCAATTTTTCAGAGTCGGAACTTTTGTTTCTTTTGTAAATCTTGAAAGAGAGATCGAGCAGAGCACAATGGAAAGCGTTGCGTGTGGGGGAGGGGAGGGGAGGGGGTAGAAAGGAGAAAGGTGAGGGGTTGCTGGTAGTGAATGGCGATTGACGGTAGGGGAGGAGCTTTGTTGTATAGTTTTGGGCGTTTGGTTAGCTGCTATAGTAGGGCTTTGTTTGGTACTCCTCAGCGGGAAGCGGTGGGATTGAGAACTGTTAGTTATGTTGTTGGTTATTGGACAATTTAACTAAATCCGATCGCTTAACCCAATAAAGTAAAATATTAGAGTGGGATTAGAGGTCTCTTTGAGACGCAGCATGATTGTACGTATCACTTTAATGTTGGCATTATTCGATTAAAGCCCGATAAATTAACTCATATGCGAATAATTGTACTATCATATGTTGGCACGGACCAGGTAGGAATAAAATGAAATTTAAACCGGCATAAATTTAGATTTATTAAGTCCCTCTTTATCCCTGCCATCTAGGTTTAACTGTCTCCTGGCGCCATTTGTCTACTGCGAGATCTGCGAGGCTTTAAACAAATAATTCCTCCAGAAACAAATTTGATTTAAACTTTTTAGCCCCTGTAAACAAATTGCCAACTTCACCAACCCACCCTTAATGTACTAGACCACTAATCAAATTACTAAATTAATGCACGCTAGACCAACCAGCCAGAAATGACAGGCGACGTCTAATTGGAACCATAATTAGCTAATGACACGCCTCATTAAACCTCGATAACTAGCACACCGTTATTCAATTAACATTAATAACTTGCCCGTCTGGTTTTGATTTGACTTTCGGGTCAGCTTGGAGCCGGAAAGAGACAAAACTTATCGAAAAAAACTATGACTTTTTAAATCGATATAACTCAAATATGCATCGATTGATTGAACGTGATACTAAAATACAAGAAATACTTTTGGTTTTAAATAAAAAGAATTCAACCCAAATGACAGCGTGATTGGAGTTTTAAAGACTTGAATGAAAACGAAGTTCACTTCTTTCTGCTTTCCTTCACTGCTGGAATTTCAGAAGCTGACCTGACCAGTTTAGCCCATTTGCTATTAAATGGCAAATTCCACACATCATTCGGTATATTCGGGAAGTAGGAATACACGAACGCCTCTGAAATTTCACCCGACTTCGCGGCTACGAAGTTGTCGCCTTTCACTGCCTGCATCTTTACACGACGCTGTTGCTCGGCTCCAATTTCAACAGCCGACTTCAGCCTCGACTGACGACCAGACAGAATGCTCTACAGTAAATCACAAAATTGATGAAAAAAATGCCCACAAAACATCAATCATATTTATATTGCATGAAGTATTGGAAACACGTTCAACTTTCGCATATGTTACCTAGTTTTATTAATTCACAAGTCCGGCCTGAAAATTTGCTAATAAAAATCAAACCTATCAATATCATCGTTTAATATCAAATTGATTTGGCATTGACGTTAAGACCATCAGAAAATCAAATATCAAGAAAAACATTTGGAAATGTAGAATATTCTCACGTATTCGTCCTCTGCAGACTGAAGTTGTTCCCTGAGTTTTTGCAGCTCCTCTTCGTACCAATTGTTCAAGCGAGCAATCTCTCTCCTGCAACACATCAACTTTTATAAAAGAAATTCTGTAAGAATATAATAACATTTCTTAACAAAATAGGCCCATTGCTTTGCAAGCGCAATAACTGTAGCCTCTTTTAAAGCATCATTAAATAAAAAAATGATGATTTAATGATACTTGTTAGCGAAAAGTATCATTAAATACTTCATTAGATACTTCATTAGCGAAAAGATCTTGTAACTCCTCCATCAAAACTTACTCTGTTATATTGTAATTAACTAAGAGCCTCTGATGTTAAGCTAAGGTAGCCAGAAATTGTTTTTCACTCAAGAGAGTTTTTTTAAAATTTTTTCAAGCCCAAGTTACGATTGAAAACCCTTTTCTACGGTACAAAATCCCTAGCCATGCGCAATTTTCTGGGTTGCATTTTCCTATATTGTTTAAGAAAAAAAATAATTCATCCCGTTTGTCATTTTGACTTTTCCCATTGAATATTTCTCAATTTCATATGTCTTTCACGGCTGAGTTGCTTGGTTTAACAATTGCGAAAGGAAGAAAAATATAATCATAATTTTTTAATCTGTTGACTGTGCTACATTTCATTCCAATATGATAATTGTGGCTGCGTTTTCCAAAATAGAGAATAAATTGTAAAGGATTGGAAAAAAATTCAAAAATCCGCCCTGAGTCATCGTTCTTTGCCACTATGTTAGATCGGATCTCTTTAACTAGTCCCCTCCCCTATAAAAATAGTTCAAATGATAAGCCAGGGGCGGATCTAGGATTTTCTCGAGGGGGTGCGGATTTTCAAAAAAAAATCGCAGGCAAAATTTAGAAAAAAAAGCAGGCCAAAAAGGGAATTTTTAGGAATTTTTTGGAAAAGTTTGGCCGAAAAATTGCATTTTTTCGGCGCACACTACCCCCTCAAAATTAATATTTTGGCGCCAAAGACGCCTTTAGAAACTTTAAGGATCAAAATGGATAATTCAAAATAGTACAAAGAGGGAACCCTTTGGGTCGGCAGGGGGTCGAATCCCTGAGAGTAGTGGGGGGGGGGGGGGGCAGACATTTCAATAATAAATTTGCAACAGAAGAAAGCAAAGCCGAATATTTTAAACATACACAACTTCAGTCAAAAAATATTCTTTTTTCAAAAAATTCAAGTCACACCTAAAGCCAATTACAAGTTTACAAATTTAAATGAAATTTGCTTACAGAACAAGAAAAATACGTGATGAACCATCTAAGCCAAATATCTTTGATCAGACACAAGTTGAGTCAAATAAACACGAGTTTATAAAAAATACATTTTTCAAGTCTTCCTGAAACTGCATTGAAACAGAGGCGAAGCCAGAGTATAAAGTGAAATAATAAAAATAGAAATGAGCCTCGAATTACTAAAACTTTGCTATCTATTGGCTTCGAACCTGTGACCTCGAGAATTGGACTCTCACACCCTGCCCTCTCGGCCACAAACGCTTGACAATCGGAAAACACTGGCCACAAATAAAGAAGATACATATGCAAATAAATTGCCAATGTCGTGCAGCAAAATGACATCAAATACAAATGGAAACAACTTTGCAAGTAATAGTTTGGAATATAACAAACTGAAGGTATCCACACTAACTTTGTATGTAAAAAATTGGAAAGCATAAGACCTGAAACGCACGTTTATGCATGTCTCAGGTCTTCCCCCACCATATTTTGATTTTAAAAAACCAATTGAATTTCACAAAATTACGATATAAAAAGAGTTAGAAAATTTCTGCTGTGATTTAGAAAATTGTTATGTTGTTTGAAACAAATAGCTTTTTTCGGTTCATTTGATGAATTTGAAGTGCCACAACAGAGTTTGGATTTTTTCGTATAAGAGTCGGAATTTGGATTGTTTGGTGGGCCCAGATCAGTCGCGCTTATGCGTTCAGCACCAAAAGCGCACTAGATTTTGTTCAAAAACTGGACGAATTGCCAATTTTCTAACCACTCAATTTCAATGTATAAACAATATCAACTTTTTATTTATGATCGCGGGACATCGGAATCTTCAAAGGGACGATAAACTTTGTCCAAAATTTTGCATGCAGTTGCACTTTGAGTTGGAAATAAGTTAACTGACTGCATAATGCTCATACGCTTGTTGTGTAAAAATATGAAACAGGTTAAGAAACATAAACATTAAATTGTACGCTCTAAAAAATGAAAATGTAATTTTACGAAAAAAAAACACCTTTTTTTCTCGATACTGTAAGAAAATTCATCTGATTTTAATAATACTATTTGAAATTACAAATTAGATAAGCGATTGGCTAATACTGGTTGATATAAATCTATGTTCGAAATCAATTCCGAACAGAGCGTTTTTCAGAAAAAAAAACCTAATTTGCTTCAAAACTTTTTTATGCTTTCCGAGATTGAAGCTACTTGATTAAAAAAAGTGGCTAGGATGAAAAAAGATCTCACGAAAAGCCGCTTTGCTTCGTATCCAGGTCCTTCAGAGCCCTCTCTAGTTCACTCATCTTCTCCTCCAATGCACTTCTCTGCTGCAACAGAGGCGTCATCTTCTCCGTACGCACCTGAAAAGTTGCAACTATCGAAAAACCACTCAGGGAGACTATTCTCAGACCCGAATGATTGGTTGCTGACAACTTAAGGCTATAACAGTTCATCGACTCGATTTCTAGAAACTGCCCGATATTCTTGATTGATTAAAACAAACACTCTATATATTCAAGGATTAGATAGAAATAGCATAATTGACCATGTCAACAATTCAGATGGGCCAGTTCCCGTCTTAAACAGGATAAGTTAAGAAATAGTCGATTCATACTAATAACAGTCTCAAGATTTGACGCGGTCGTGGTTCGGTCATACCGATTCGAGTGCAGACTCCATTTGGCTCTGTCTGGACCCGTATGACGTCATGATGCTCTTTCTCTGATGTTCCCACTGTTCTTCCATGGCCGCCTCCTCCTCCACCTCCCGGTCGCCCAACTCGCCCTCTTGCTCAGCCACTATGTTGTCCCTTTCTGATGGGGACTCAACGTCCTCCAGCATGATCTCACGTTCAATTCTCGAGCGCTCACGTCTCTACAACGAGTGTGAAAAATTGAGATGGACAAACAAACCAAAATTAAGCACCACTTTGAGATATAAACATGAACCGAAAACCAAAAGTGAAAGCAATATGAAAACAATCCGATAAATCAATATAGTCTTCTCGTTCTGAGAAAAAAATTAATGCTAAATTAGAGGTTTTCTTGTTGAGCATGAAAATTTTGAAGTTCACTGACAAAATAGGTGAAAATAATCCGATGTTACTTTGAATTGTTGAACAAAACTACCTCAAAATTTCATTGCTGACCCAAACATTGATATGAAATCTAACGCCTTTTTGACAAAAATTTAAAGATTATAAAAAGAAAAAACAGGAATTAAACAATTTATAAAACAATGTTTCTGAATTTGAAAAGCTCAGAAAAGGGCATTCAAACAAAGATGGTCCAGGTTTTCGATTTTTGGCACGTTTTTTATTTGCTTTCATGAAGTTATAATAAATTCGTGTTCTTGGAGTTATTGGACTTGGTAATGGCCTGGAGACCCCAGCAACATCGCCAGATTTAACACCACGTGATTTTTTCTTTGGTCTTGGATTAGAAGTCGAGTCTCCGAGATTCCAATTTTGAAACGACGCATTGAAGAAGCTTTCGATGGGTTGAAGCACGAGAGAGCAATGATTAAAATAGTGATGAAAAACAGGGCAACAAATTTTATGTTTAATGAAGTGGAAGACAAGTAGAAGGAAGAGCAGCGGGACTATACCTTCATTTTTTTGTTATCGTTAGAAAAGTTAACTTACTTTATCATATTTCTTTTCTAGTAGTAAAACACGTAAAAAATCATGAAAATTATATATATGATTGTTGAAATATTCTATTAATATACTTTTTTGGGACACACTGTATTACTTTGGATGATTTGTGTAATCTTCATAAGCAATTAGGGCATGTAACATGTAATCTCTTTCCGACTTGCAAAGTTTTTGGTGAAAACATTCCAGTTATTTTACAAAAAGGTGAAAGAGAGTTTCGCACCACTTGTGATTTTACGCAAACATAGCATTGCGAGCTAGCAGAAAACAAGACTGCTCGTATATCAGGGCAAAGCCCTGAATGTTCCAACTGTCCCTTAATTCGTATCGAATAGTTTTTGGTAAAAGAAAATCATGAAAACCTATATAATTTGGACAAAAATAGTGTAAAATTTGGACAAAAATAGTGTAAAATAGAGTCGTACGAAACTAATATGACCGATCTGATTAGCTAGCCTCAATTCAATTTGGAACGATTTTTTGTGCGGTATAACTCGCCACGCATAGATAATTCGCGTTACGATCTCAGCAATATGAATAAATTCTTCAAAGGGCGCATAATTTAGTCCAGAACATGGCCAATTTGGCAATTTTTAAGCCCTCAGAACTTTACAAAAAATAATCGGAGGTAAAATATCTTTTTACATTTTAACACCGGAAGTCGATATCTTCAATGTGCTATAAAAAAAATTGTCAAAAACTATTATTTCGATCGGCGAAGAGTGACTGAATAAAAAAACTACACCGTGCATAAATATTCCGTTTTCTTCGAAAGCCGGATCAAAACGATCAAAGCAAAACTAGTATGCCGCAAAATGTCGAAAAACAATTACTACAAAATTTTATTGATTGTGTCTCGAATGATGTTCAACTTGGGGAAAACACGTCCAGCAATAAGTATGCTAGCGTTAATTAAGTATTCAGAAACACTTGCAGAACGGCCAACAGGCCAACAAAATTCCGTTGATTCATAAGCAAAACTGTTTTCATGGAAAACAAATTTCTGAAAATCAAAGATTTTATCTTAAGTTTTTCCGAAGTTGAGGTGAAAAAACTATGCCTCCCATCATCGCACGCAAGGTCATTAAGCCAATGAAACAACTAAAACAATTAAGGCCTAACAAAGCATAATCGTAGAAAAAAAGGTATTTACACACAGTCGGGTTTAGTAAGTTTACAAGCTACACGAGTAAAGCTAAACTAGTCGCAAAAAAATCTAAAACAATTGCACCACAATAAAGTTTTGATTTGGCAACTAGGCCGACAAAAAGGATAGACCGAAAAAAAATCCGAAAAACGATATGCCGACAAAATTTTGAAACTGAACATTTAAACTTAGAATAAAAACAGGTCCTGCTTGGATCGAAAGCCAGGACCTAGTCGTAGTCGTTACTTCTAGATCAAGGTGGTCGCTTTTCTCAAAACATTTGAATCTATTATAAATCAAGCAATCAGGTGATTAATTAAATGTTAGCCCAAAAAGTGTTTTGATATGATAAATTTGATAATCGCAAGCGTGAAAATAATGCTACTTTTCGAACAATGATGAGGTTCTTCGAAACAAGCGTAAGTTAACTGGAGTGAAAATGTATCTGGCGTGTCGGGTAGAAGTTTGAAAACAAAAATAGAAAATTGAAGAACACCTGGTGATATGAAATCAGTCACCACGACTCAAAACTACATTATTGAGTGTTTTGTCAGCTCATAAAAAGACTGTTTCATTCTCAAAAAATAAACAGTTCGGAAACAGAAAAAAGAAACAGAGTTAAATAGTTAAGCGAAAAGCCAAAACGTATCGCGACCAAAGTATACACAAATACTTGTTAGTACTAAAAAAAATATTGCCTGAATTTTTGTTGCCTGAAAACCCGGTTGCAAATTATAGGTTTTAGTTTCAGCCCTCATTTTTTCCGCAGTTTTTGAAACAACTAAACAAAATTAGCAATCATGGTCCACCAACGCCACAAAATTATTTCCTAGAATTTGCGATTAACTTTTGAAAAAAAAATGCAGAGAATCTTAACGACGCAAATTAATTGAAATATTCTAAAGCTAGAAAATATGACACAAAGGTCAACAGAAATCAAACAAAAAAATTTTTGGGCGCAAAGGTGAAAAACTCTATATTCTGCTCCAGATTTCCTAACGCGTTGGCAAAAAAATTTGAAAAGCTCGAGTGTTTTTGATGCTAAGAGTTTTCACTTTCGCTTCAATTGAAAAAAAAAACGCACAATTTCTCATTGGAACATTACAAAGGGAATCATACTGAGATCTCCCTAAAAGGTTTAGAAAATGCAAAAAAAAGAGTAAACACATGAAACAGTCATGGTGGCTTAAACATCGAAAAATCATCATAGCTCACAAATTTTTTTAATCAGTTCATTCAGGGGCGGATTTAGGGGGGGGGGGGGGGGCGGGGGGCGGACGCCCTCTCCTCTCAGGAATTCGAACCCCTGCCAACCCAAAGGGTCCCCCCTTTGGTACTTTTTAAGAAATCCATTTTTGGCCTACCGACCCTAAAATTTTGCTAAAGGCGCCTCTGGCGCCAATATATACTAATTTTGAGGGGGAGCGCGCGCCAAAAAAAACGCGTTTTTTTTTGTCAAATTTTTCCAAAAAGTGCCCAAAAACGGCTTTTTTGACCTGTTTTTTCAAAAAATTGCCTGAGGCGCAGAAAATTTGGCCAAAACAGGGTCTTTTTACTGCTCTGGGAGAGCTCTGAAAATCAATCTGATCGACCTAAAAAAAAAAAAGGTCGTCAAATTTTTTGAAAATCCGCCCCCCTCAAGAAAATCCTAGATCCGCCCCTGAGTTCATTACCAATGAAAATTGAAAAAAAAAGACTGTAAGGTGGTTGAAACCACATTTTTATTAGAGAATTTTCTTGAGCATTAAAGATCAAATAATTTAATATGTTCGGTGACCAAAAACTTTTAAGCACAAAACAATTTGTGTTTCAAGCAAAAGTTGCCATGGATGATGTTATATTATAGTTTAAGAGCATTTAATCAGAGATGGGACAGCAAATAATTAGTCAACGTTATTCCATTAATTTAATAGAAACTTTTAAAAATTACTTATGACGGTACGGCGATTGCTGAAAAATTAGAATCATATATCAAAAAAGTTATACTCATTGTCTCTTAAATTTTCCTTTCAAGATAGGTATCGACTTTTGACCAAAAAAGAGATTGATCTTTGCATTCTGTGGCAAGTGGACAGCAACAAGGACCAGTTTTTGGATCACCTTTATACTGGCTAGTGGACTGCAACAAGGATCATACTTTTTTGTACTATATACCTTGATGGTCTTCCTATTAATGTCCCATTAAAAATATTTAAAAACCGCATAATTTTCCAAATTATGCCTTTTTTGTTCGCGACATAAAAGAGTAAGACATAATCGATTGCAGCTGTCTCTAATTTCGCTAAGAAATTGTTTTTAGTTTTTTAATATTTTTAATGCCAAAGAAGCGCTAAGTAAAGTTTCGAAAATTTGTTTTATCAAACCAGTTTTCAGAACACTGCAACCGTTTTTTCACGACAAGGCGAAAAATGAAGCATACCAAGACAGAGACAGAGTCCCTTCCCATTTTCAGTGGTGCAAAAAATCGTTTAAACTAGATTAAAATAATATTAAATATGTAGAGTGGCTCCTTTTTTGGATAGAATTTCGTCCTCAAAGTTTCGAATAGATTTTCTTTTCGACACTTGGACAATTTTTCGCGTATTCAATATTAGTTCAAATTACGAACTCATCCGAGCCTATGTGTTACATTCATTAGTGTTACCTTACCTTGTGGGTGAAAACATCTTACTAAGACCAGACCATCAAAAGTGGTGTTCAGTCAAAAAGGCATTTCAAATTGTAAGAAATGACTGGCTAGAAAAAAAAAACACAAAAAATTTCTGGGATACCATTTTTCCCAGATAAAAAATGATTAAAAGATTATACATAACACTAACCAGTTGCCATAGTGCATCGCGTTCGGCTTCCAGTTTCATTCTGCACATATCAAGCTGCTGTTCCAACTCTGTCTGCAGACAATATTTTTGTTCGTCTTCCTCCTCGCTCAACTCCTGGTCTACTTTGGCTGTCTCTTCTAACACTATTTGCAGTTCACGCTTCAAATCATCAAGATCAGACAAGAGCGACTAAAAATGAGGAACAATTAACAATTATTTCACATCACCAAGCAGGCCTAAAATCTTTGGACAAAACATCAAACCTGATTGGCTAAAATATCATAACCATCTAATTTTTTTTTGTAAAATGATAACCAAGTCATAGTTTATAAATTTCTCAAAATAACCTCAATAGACCGAAAAGGCGATCATTCAAATTTCACACAAGACAAAATTTCCATTGCGCAATAATGAAGAAACGCACTAAATTGAAATTTTCGTTTCGAACATTTCGAAAATTTTCAGTTTCAGTCGAATTTTGAGCTAGTAAAGCGAAAGATTAGGTCCTTAAAAACTCCGGTTAAGTAGAAAAAAAATAGTTTTATTTCAGGAAAACTAGTTTTGGAAACTTCATTTAGCGCTTTCATGGCAAAAAAATGTTTTCTCAAATAATCCAAACATTTTTCTGCTTACAATTCGAAAAAACTATACAACAATTATTCTGAAAAAGAATTTTATTTTTTTGTTTGTTAATCATTTCTTAAAGGCAACTGTTGGCAATAACGCTCTATGCGTTCGTAAAGTTCTCTCATCAGAGCACTCACAAAATAACGACGCCAATTTGATTTTAAAACATTATCTTTTTTTTTATATAAATCTGGTCGGAATGCAACACTCTGTGCTACTTGCGCAGAAACCGGCTATCCTTGTAAGTTTTTGAAAAACTTCACATTATATGGTATGATTTTTATTAATGAAAATTAAGTATCTCGCATTTTGAAAAAAGCTGCACGCAAAACTTTTGTAATGTAGAAACTTACACATTGTAATTTTTTTCATGACCATTCATTGTTACTTTTTTTCAATCCCGCTAGCAAAACTAACCCTACTCTCAACAAGAAAGTAAAAGCGATACTGACTAACGGAATCAAAGATACAAACGCGAAGTGGTGATTCGCATACACAAGAAAAAAAATGACCGATAACGCTATTGGGCCAATTATGACGTATTAGCAGTACCATTCAATTGAAAAAAAAAAGAGAAATTTACCAACTTATAGAGTGGACGCATTTTAACTATTATACTAAAAAAATCGTTGAAAACATCCGACCCTTCATAGTTTTGAACCCTTTTATTTTGTTGCCTCCTTCTCTACCTCTACGCTACAGATCCATGATACCTTAAAGCCAAAGCGCTATTTGTAATATAAAAGTCTGTGTTAATATCCTTAGCCCTGGCTGCACCAACTAGCTGGTTATTGATCAAAACGAAAACTTTCAAAATGAACACATTTTGTTGCAATAATAATTGCGTCGCATCTTTCATTTGTCATTGTAAAAAAACTTTAAGAAACGCCGCTTTAAGTTAATTAATTTGTTGAAAATTCATCAAACGGCGTCCATATTTGTCTGAAAACCAAAAGCATTCACTACACCGAGTTTTTTTCGAGTTTTGCATATTTGAAATCCCAAGAACTCTTCTTGCGTCAGTCAAAGTTGGCTGAAACAACCGACCCGAATCCGAAGTTCTTTTCCACTCTTCGAGCGGTCCGAACAAATGTCAAAAAAAACTTTAGCTGCACTTATCTGAAGAGTTTTGCATAATTTGAGAATTCAAATTAATGTGTTTTGTGCTTTATTTTCTTTCGAAACTGCAACAAGTGTAACCGGTTCCCATGCAAGTAACGGAGAAATTGCATGGGAAACTTGCACAGTTTTTGTCTAGATAAATTAAAAACAAAGAAGCGAAGCGGAGCTTTGCACCGCTTGCAATACAACACAAACATAAAAAACTTGAAAAAAAATGAAAACTGGAACCTTCCAAAAAACAAAAAATTTTCTTACAAAACTTTGAAAGCCACGGCTTGTGCAGGAAAAATTGTCACAACCGTTTTTTTTGGATGAGTCCTCATGCCGATTTGATACGCTCGTTTTCAGGCTAGATTTGATAGTTTTTAAAAAAATTCAAAAAAATAATCCAAAAAGGTTAAAATGCAAAACCTTTACTTTCCAAAATCCATTGCAACTTTTTGCAACTTGTTTTTAGAAAAAAATGGCGTGGCCGCTTATGCAGGTAAGCTTTCAAAAACCTGTTTTTTTTTAAATCCTTGATATCAGGTTTGGCAGGTTATTTATCAAGAAAAGTCAAATTTTGCAAAAATGGTCAAAGAATCAAAACACAGCAGAGTAGGCGGTCTTTCCATTCAAATGCTTTTAAAAAAAATTGGCTAGTTAATTTTTGAGAAAAAAAAACTTTGCAAAAAAAGAAAAAAATCCAAGTCGTCTCAAAAAAAATAAACTAAAAACCCAATATCGTAAATTTTTATAATGGCTGTTTTTATCATACAAGAAATTTAAGTAAGCATGTCAAACAAAATATTTGAATTTTAAATTAGCAATGAAACAAAACTTACGAAGCGGAAACAAAGCTGACAACCTTTGAGCAGACAACAACCGAGCCGAAAAATTCCCATGATACTTGCTCACAGCTCAAGAACAATCCGTGATGTGGCACCTAATCCGACAAGACTTGAGAGGACAAACGAAATTTCGACAATTTTAGCAGAAAAAAATTCAATTTCAAACCTAATAAAAAAAGAACGGCCTGCCGGAAAACGAACCCGAGATCTTAGGATACAAAGGCGACCGTGTTATCTCCAGGCCACTAGGGAGAAAACTAGAAATTGACATAGTTCAAAAATAAAACAAGTTCAATTCCTTGAACAAAAAGTTGTTTACGGGAAAAATCTAGTTCACGATTACAAGACACTTGCTCTCGCAAGTGAATAGAAAGTATCTTTTTAAAGATTTTTGTTTAAAATTTGTGTGATAGTTTTGAGCGTGTCGTACAAAAACTAGGCTAAAACAATAGTATTGATCTCTATTCAGTATTGATTTCTTTTCAAAAAATAGAATTATAGGAAAGACTGAATCAGCCCTGACTGAATAATTCGCATCTCCTAGATGTTTCATAGAGCTTGAAATAAGTATATACAAGGCGCACGAATAAAGCGAATACAACAAAAATTAAGTTGCTGATATAAGACAAGCCAACTTGAGAGTAAAACTTGCGCATTTAATTGTGCAAGTTAGGGTGAAAAAAGTGAGCTCTTATAATAATGCTACCGACCGATCAAGCAGAAATATTGATATTTCATAGAAAGAAATTACTTTTACTTCAGATTCTAATGTTAAAAGATAATTCTTTGATTATCCGGAAATGTTCAACATATTTGCCACTTTCATTCTTTTCATTAAAAAAAATCCTCAAAACAAATCTAAGCATAAATCAGCTGAAACGCTTTGTTTTTGATGGCAACGGGTCCAAACCCCTGAAGACGATTGAAACGTCCAAAAACTCTAGGAAATCTACTTGCCCTTATTTCGATCTCAACCGAGTCCTGCTTAATTTCCAAATCTAGTATCTTTTTCCTCCTTTCTTCTTCGTACTTCGTTATTTGTTCCGACACACTCTAAAACAAAAAAAGAACCAATCAACTGAAGTCATTGTATTAGTAGAGAAAAAGTATTCACCCGTTTTCTTTCTACGCGTACATTCGACTTCGTCAATTAATGCATAGATTAACTTCGAGGCTTCAGATAATTTCCATAGGACAACTTGACTTTTAAGAAATCCCCAAAGATCTTGGAGTTGCTTCAAAAGTTAGAATTTGGACGCAGCCAATTGCTGGCAGCGACAACAATTAAAATAAGAAAAAGCAATACATCTTTTCTGATGTCTAAAAGTCATTTTTTGAATAAAATGTTTGGGTCCAATTCTAACCAGCTCTCGGCTGTCAATAATCTCGGGAGTTTTGCACTGTTTGTTCTTTTTGCCTTTCTTCCCACTTGACTTTCCAGTCCTGTGTTTCTTGGCCTGAGAGCGCACAGCATGCGAAGTGAGTTTCTTCAGGTTTTCCAGCTCAGTATTGCGGGATGCCTGAAATATGTTTACTGGTATTTTGGTCTCATTTTAATTCAATGCCGTGAAAAGAGGAGGGTCAAAAACAGCTGTCGTTTCGATACTATTCAAAACAAAATCTCTTTCAGACCGTAACATTTGAAGACTCATTTTTAACCCATATCAAATTCTATATATATTTTTTCAGTATTATCATAAAAATTCGAATTTATGATTACAATGACCGAATTTGTTTGCAAGAAGTTCGTTGTCCCTTTAGCGTTTACTGAGAAAATATTATTAACTAACTTTTTCTTCTTCCAATTATAACCAAATTACAATTGAATGAACTGATTGACATAAAAGAAATTATCAAAATAAGTTATGCTAAGATGTCTTTGGTAACTGCTAAACAATCCTGACCTTTTCTAGGTTTCTGACTCTGGATGCTGTTTCGGATTCCTTTGCAGCTTCCAAGTCTGAACCCATTTCATCGCTTGATGACAAGTCAAAAATCTCTCGCGTATAAGACTTGTTCTTCGAGTCACTATTGTCTTTCAGATTATCACTGACATGTTTCACCTGCTTTTGCTTACTTTTGTCTGAAACGTTTGAGAAAATTTACAAAAAACTGCAAAAGTGTTCAAAAAAAATCAAATAGATTTATTAGAAATCACGCTAGCTTTATAAATATTAAAATTTCAAAGTCTTTGAATTTCAACAAAAATTAAACCTTTTGAAAAATTGTCAGCTCTATGCTTTGACTTCTTCAATCCTGGTCGTGCATGAGTCGGACTAGCTGTTCTTGAGCCTTTCGGTGACTGGTTATTCATTGTAATCCGATTGGCGTTTGCGGCTGCAATCGCTTCTCGTGCTTCTTGAACTACTTTCTCTTTTTGATCTTTCTGCCATTGCTGAACATACTCCATTATATACTTCGCATCTTCGCCCAGGCGCTCCAGATCGCGAACCGCGCGCATTGAGTCTATAAACATATCTCCATATATAGATTGTTGTTGAGAACTCGACTCTTCGGCTATTGCGTCATTTTGTTCGAGGAGGTCTCTTCGCTGACGAATCAACATGGAAGGTTCTCGACGAGTTCGTTTTAGGTATCCAAAACTGTTGTAAACTGGTTCGCGATTCCTCGATTTTTGATTAAGTCGCGACTTCGCTCCTTCAGGCTGTGACTCCAGCTGGTCTTTTGTCTTTTCGGACACTTCGTCGATGTCTTTTTCTTCCTTTTCTTCTGGTGGCTGCCCTGAAAACGAAATTGCAGCGTGAAGAAAAAGCTTTTTCGTAATTCAATTTTTCTTTTTGTTTCATTTAGGAAAATGTTAATTTCTGTAATATGTATATTAGGAATAATTCACGGAAGAAAACATATAGGAAAGGTATCAGTTTGACTTTCACAAAATCGAAATGCTATCAATTAAGGTAACTTCAAATACAGACGCGAAGCTGAGCTCCGCATCGCTTGCGATACAACACAAAAATAAACGCAGAGGCGAAACGGAGCAAAAAAATAGAATTGGAGGCGAATCGGAGTTTTGCAATACTTGTGATACAACAAAAACAATGCGTTACTAGAAAGTGAATAGAAAAAAGAAGTAAGTCGAAATTTTTTGTTTTGAAAAACTTAGCTGAAAAAATAACTTGCAAAATGTCGATTACCGATCGACAACCGAGAAAAAAAATTCTGGATAACCACCTGGTGAGCCGAAAGCAAGCTGTCTGATGATAAAATTTTGAGCTACAAAGCTTACAGATTTATTACGTAATGTGTTGTACTGATGCAGGATGAAAGGCGTAAATTTCAATCAATTGGTCTTAACCCATACCCTTAGTGGTTTCTATTGCAACAAAATAGGATACGCTAATGAGGAGTAGAACTACTCTGCGCCTTTTAATTGAACTCAAAACACATCTGGTATGGTAGTTTTCACGAAGTGGAACAGTTTCTAAAAAAAACGTTTAAAAACTCGGAAAATTGACGTTACCCAATTCATACCTGCTTTTCTTCGGCAAAAAAACAGGGTGTAATCTTTTATGCAGGGAACATATCTAGACTATGTTTTTCTCATTTGGACCATTACACACAGAATTGGCGGGAAGAGTTTGAGGAAAAAAACGTCCAAAAAAGCGAAAACTCAAAATATTGACTTTTTCAGTAAGTAAAGTTTTTCCGCGAACAATAAAGCGTAGATACTTCTAAGGTAAATATGTACAGTAAAAATGAAAGAGAGCCTGAATAATTGTCAAGAAAAAATAAGCTTTTAGCAAAATTGTCAAAATTTCACAGCGTCTCAAAAAAAAATAAAAAATGAACACACAAATACTTCATATTACTTGTTTTGTCGAACAGCAATATTTGAAACCGTTAAACCGAAGGAAAAAAACTTGAAAAACAAAATTATTCAAAATCAAACTTTATAAAATTAGAAAACTACTGAACTTTCAATGATAATTAAAAAATTTAAAATCTGACAAAATCTATTCTTTACAAAGCAGGCCGATAAAAACTATTACCAGATAATACAAATGCCGTTTGAAAAAAAAACGGAAAATGAAACGACAGAAAGTAGGCCGACAACAATTTAACCAAAAAAAATAATTTAACATTTATTTGAAAAAACATTACTGTCCAAAACTTACTCAACTCACTTACTACCTAGATAAGATCGTTTTATTCGAATATTCAAGAAACAGAGCATGTCTTGAAATAAACTTTTCCTGCAACACTTATCATCCTGTGATCAAAGTTAGTTATTAACATGAAGAAACTCTAGTACCCTATTGCAATACCCGTAGTTATCTCAAGAGCAAAAACATAAGAAATCGATTAAAAAAAACGAAAAATGTTGAAAAACTAGGTCTACCAAAATTTGAAATTTCGTTCGTCTCGATCGAAAGAAGTTCATTCTGGGTAAACATGCCAGACATTTGAATAATAAATTAGCAACAGAAGAAAAAAAAACTTGTCGACAATCAGAGGAAACAAAGCCGACAATCTACGAGCAGACACAAGTTGACCCAAAACAAGATTTTTTTAAAATAAAACTTTAAACTTGAAGTCCCCCAGAAAACTAAATTGAACAACATTTGCACTTGCAATTACAATAAAAGTAGCTTACAGCACAAACAAAGTCCGTGATGTTAGCAACTAAGCCGACAAATTTTGAGCAGACAAGCGAAAGTCCGACCATTCAATTTTCACAGAAAAAAAAATCAATTCCTGAAAAAAACAAGGTCCAGCTGGGACTCGAACACCTGACCTTAGGGTGCAAGCGCCACGGCTTTACCTCTAAACCAAAAAGGAACGAAATTGGGGATTGTTAAGCTTTAATAATTAAGCAAGTAAGAAAAGCAAGTAAGTTTTACAAGAAAAGTTGTTTCCTGGGAAAAAAAGTCTAGTTCCCGATTACAATAAACCTGTTCTCGCAAGTGTAATTAACATTTATCAAAGAATTTTTGATTTTAGTAGTTTTTGCGTCGTTTATTTGCGAATGATTACAATGACTACGAGAACAAAAAGGTCGGGTTATCCGCACAATTGTTTTTTCATATAGAACAACTTTACTTTTTGTGCTGAAAGTTGACAGACACAGACGCAAAATAAATCTTATCCAACGGTAATATTCAAAGCAGCGGCAGTTGAGTACAAAATCTTTAAAACACCGACTTCGTAAAATAAACAGATGTAAGTTTTAAATTCAACCAAGCTGACCTTCGTTTTCCTCTTCGGTAAATCGGACTCCTTTCGTAGATCCCATTCGTGAGTCGTATTTGGACGAAGCACGAGACCCGAGCGACGACAGCATGGAAGTATCCGGCATTGGCACTGAGGCTGGAACGAAATACTGTTTACACCAAAACAGGTCTGAAAACTAAACGCCCCTTCACTTTCTGTATGTATTTTTTAAAAAGTCGCTGAAAAATTTGGAAGAATGTGAGAAGGTTTTACGCGTGAGTATGATTTGCTGGGGATTTTAATGGGAAAAAGTCTTATTTTTCATCCGGCAAAAAAAAACACTGAAAATATTCAGTGCGACAACATTTTCTAAGCTATCAGTCATTACCATTGTATCTTTCTTCGTCAAATCGCACCCCTCGTTGCTTTGAGCTCTTGGTCGACCTGAGATCTTCAAATAGAAGCTTGTCAATCTTCTTGCCTGACTTCACAGAATACCTCACCACTTCTTTCTCGCCCAAATTCAGTCTCCTCATGAACTTCGTACCCTGAATACAGTTAGCTAATCCAGAGGCAGATCTAAGGTTTTGCGAAGAAGGAGCGAATCTTTGTTCAATGCAAGCAAAAATGATTTTCCTAGCAGCCATATAGCACTACTACATCATTTTTGGTTTATTGGAAGAAATTATTAGAAAAAAAATAGGTTTTTTGGCGCACGCTCCCTCCCAGTTATTTTGATGCTGAAGGTGGTCGGCCAAATTAAACCGGCAACCCTTAAAATATGGTAAGACTGTTTCTAATGATTGTTAGAGCAGCGCCACTTTTACAATGAGGCTCATCCATCCCCGGTGAAATTTCAGGTTGAGACAATTATAGAACCATTTCGAATTCAAGACAAATGTCTTTGAGGGTAGGGCGACAATTCGTAACAGGCGACAATTCGTAACAAGCGACAATTCGTAATAAGGCATTGGCAAGTAGAATTCGTTTGCTCCGCTTCGCTCCGCTGCGCTTACATCCGCACGAGAGGAATATTTCGCGTGAATCAGTGTTCCCGCTTGATCTACTGTTACGAATTGTCGCCTGTTACGAATTGTTGCCTGTTACGAATTGTCGCCTCACGGTCTTTGAGACAATCAACTTCATAGCGTCTCATTGCAAAACTAAATTCTCTACGAACTAGTGCTACTTTGAGATCTGAAAACCTTTTTCAAACTTAAGGGCAGAAAACTGCAAACGGTGTCAGTATAAAAATTTTTAACCAACTAACTCAAAAAAATAGTCTTTAATAACAGACAAACCATAATTCGAAAAAATGTTAAGATTTCAGGGTATCAAAAAATTTATTTCGCTGCGTAAACCACAACATTTTTAACTGCCCTTGAAATCTTCAACAAAAATTACACTAACTTCGAGAATTTTAACTTTATGTTTCAATTTTTGCATTACAAATTCTTTAGCTACAAACCAAACTGCTGCTCCTGCTTTGCAGACGTTAAATGAAACACGACTAACTATATGAAAAAAACTCTTGCACGAAAAAAAATTATACGAGAGATCAGAGTTATACGATAAATTATATGATTTAACCAGACCAATAGATGGCAATTTTTTTCTTTTTTGTGATACAAGGATTTTTCGTTTGCGTGGCGGCTCAATATTAGTGATTATTTTTTGTTTTCGTGGGGGCTCAAATCCAAGATAAACCGTTTTCTGAGATAGCAAACCAAGAGGAAGCAAACCTGAAAGTTTTATTCTTTAAAGTCCATTATCCTTTAAGGTCGATAAAAAATATTTAGGTTCAAGGCACCATCATCATCATCATCATCATCATCATCATCATCATCATCATCATCATCATCATCATCAGCATCATCATCATCATGGCAAACGGTGTCAGTATAAATTTTTTTAACCAACTAACTCAAAAAAATAGTCTTTAATAACAGACAAACCATAATTCGAATAATTATGGAATTTTAAGATTTCAGGGTATCAAAAAATTTATTTCGCTGCGTAAACGACAACATTTTTAGCTGCCCTTGAAATCTTCAACAAAAATTACACTAACTTCGAGAATTTTAACTTTATGTTTCAATTTTTGCATTACAAATTCTTTAGCTACAAACCAAACTACTGCTCCTGCTTTGCAGACGTTAAATGAAACACGACGAATTATATGAAAAAACCTCTTGCACGGCAAAAAATTATACGAGAGATCAGAGTTATACGATAAATTATATGATTTAACCAGACCAATAGATGGCGATTTTTTTCTTTTTTGTGATACAAGGATTTTTCGTTTGCGTAGCGGCTCAAAATTAGTGATTATTTTTTGTTTTCGTGGGGGCTCAAATCCAAGATAAACAGTTTTTTCTGAGATAGCAAGCCAAGAGGAAGCAATCCTGAAAGTTTTATTCTTTAAAGTCCATTATCCTTTAAGGTCGATAAAAAATATTTAGGTTCAAGGCATCATCATCATCATCATCATCATCATCATCATCATCATCATCATCATCATCATCATCATCATCATCATCATAATCATCACCATCATCATCATCATGGCAAACGGTGTCAGTATAAATTTTTTTAACCAACTAACTCAAAAAAATAGTCTTTAATAACAGACAAACCATAATTCGAATAATTATAGAATTTTAAGATTTCAGGGTATCAAAAAATTTATTTCGCTGCGTAAACGACAACATTTTTAGCTGCCCTTGAAATCTTCAACAAAAATTACACTAACTTCGAGAATTTTAACTTTCTGTTTCAATTTTTTCATAACAAATTCTTTAGCTACAAACCAAACTACTGCTCCTGCTTTACAGACGTTAAATGAAACACGACGAACTATATGAAAAAAACTCTTGCACGATAAAAAATTATACGAGAGATCAGAGTTATACGATAAATTATATGATTTAACCAGACCAATAGATGGCAATTTTTTTCTTTTTTGTGATACAAGGATTTTTCGTTTGCGTGGCGGCTCAATATTAGTGATTATTTTTTGTTTTCGTGGGGGCTCAAGTCCAAGATAAACCGTTTTCTGAGATAGCAAACCAAGAGGAAGCAATCCTGAAAGTTTTATTCTTTAAAGTCCATTATCCTTTAAGGTCGATAAAAATATTTAGGTTCAAGGCACTCTTAGTAAATATGCCAAAAAAGAAAAACTTTGGAGATCCTTTTTTTTTTCATTTTTAAAGTTATCCCCCACACGCTGCGTAAAAGACGAAGTGATAAACTTTTCCTTCGGCAACGAATTTATATGCGCAAATTGGGGTCTTATGTACTAAACGGCCCAATTTCATTATTTCTACATCTCTTGAACTGAAATTATTGTGGATGAATTTCATTGGCTAATTAGCCAATCTAGTTTCATCGACATTTTCTGCCATTTCAATTGAAATTTCAAGCAGATAAAATTATAAGCCGAAATGATAAAGAAAATTGAATTTTGTTTTGTCCAGCCATTTTACTGAATTTTGCTTGTCTGGGCAAGGTTTCACAAGTGACTCATAATTATTTTGATAATTTGACTCAAAGTTCCACCTTTTCGGCAATTTCGGCTAATATTTTTATCTGCTAGAAAAGTTGATCGGAATGCCTGACCGTGTAACTTCAATTTGATTGGCTAAAATTACCCAATCAAATTTGATCGTTCAATTTCCAGCTTACGATGTAGAAAATTTGATTTTGGGTCGTTTAGTGCATAAGACCCGCAAATTGTTTGCCTCAATTCAATTTGCAATTTGAAATTGCTTAAGTATCCAATAACGCTTTTACAGGACCAAATACATCGCAATTTGATATAGCAAGCTATCCCAATTTGAAAATTTGAATTATAGTGGTCAAATTAGTCACAAATTTACCACCCTATAACTCAAGAAGAAATAGTCGCAGGTGAATTTTCTATTTGATTTTGAGCTTTTGACATTGATGTTTTCAAACGACAGGAAATTAATATGGCTAAAATGGCTAAATAAGGAGCCAAATTTTGTCTTGAAAAAAAGCACAAACACTTGATACTTTTCGTGTAGAGTCGGAATAACGAACCAAAAGCTATTTGTAACTACACAAAAATTTGACAAATATTGAGTCTAAAAACAAATCAGAAACATGTCCAAAAAAAAATTTCTGGACCATCAAATTATAATTCTCTCTCTGACAAAAGACAGACTCTCAATTGCATGAGAACTAGAACAACAAATGACCCGGGTAGACCAAAAATGCTTATCATACAATTCTCATAAATGGTCAATTTCTTTTCATACAATTCCATACGTACAGAAAATTGTATATGGAAATTGTATGATAGGTGTGTTTTTTCCATAAATCAAAAAAAAAATGTTTTTGTTTCTTATTTTGTTTTCTGAACAATTTTGGGTCCTGTTTGCAACCGAGGACGAGTGACAAAGACTTTGGTTACTCAAAGCACCAAAGTTTGGACGGCCTTACATTTACAATGCATAGAAACGACCTGAATTATCTTCAAGCTGTCCTTCACTAATCGTATAAAAAACTTTCTTTCACAAACTGTCCTTCACAAAATTTTAATTTTTGGCAAACAGAAGAAACAGGGCTTTTCAGCGTTTTTGAAAAAAAAAATTAAGTGAAAAGAAAAAAAAAGACAATTTTATCGTATCCAGGACTACGTTATGCACACAAAAAATTGAATTTTGCATGCAAATTTTTTTTTGGAAAATGTTTGTTTGCGTACAAAATTCGATTTGCAGTTGAAAAAAAACTTTAAAAAATTTTGGGGCAAACTTTAAAAATTTTAGGGGCAAACTTTAAAAAAAAAACAGTTCATTTACAGGACAAAAATTACGATTGCCATAGTAGAAAAAGTTTACAATTTCATGATTTAATGAAAAGTTTTTGATTGCAATGGTATTGCTGATTGCAAACGTGAAGATGATTAAATTCGCATGCTATAATCGGTTTTTTAAACAGTCATTTAAAAAACTACAGATTGATCTTCAATTACCTGCAGCAGATGTTCGGGAATGAACAGGGTGAAATTTTTCAACACAGTGTCGGCTGACGAGAAATCAGTCGTCTCTTCTTCCTTCTGATGCTTCAAATTACCACTTGTTGTGGCATTGCTATGAAACATAGCATAACATATTAAACATTTTCAATTAAGTGCCCTGGAACAGGTTTCGAAAACTTTTGCCGAGCTATGAGCCCATGCGAGTGAATAATTTTCAATCCATCCCACGTTCGACAACAGGATATCTTTAACTTTTTCTCTCCTTGTAAAAGGGTATGAGATTTGTTACTAGGTACTAAGTTCTAATATGCTTAACAGTTGAATTAGTTCATCATGGGGGAGGCCATTCGTTACTAAGTACCAAATGGGGGGAATAGCCAAAGAGATTCCCAAAATGTCCCTACTGATACTCTTACAATCCCAATCAGTAAGTAAATGCAATTTCATATTGAGTCCCTGAGATTGCATCTTGATAGCAGCTGTTATCATTTATTGATCAGAAACCATACAATAATGGTATGCCTGTGCGATGGTCTACTCACCTAATTTTCTGGATAAATTCTCCATAATGTATCAAACCAAGAAGTCAGATTTTCAGTTTAAAAAACGAGGAATTATTTCCTACAATATATGTTGCTTCAGTGATATACTTTGGACTGCAGCCAGTAGGTTTCAATCAAATAATTTATAGGCTGTGATTTGTAATTTAAAATACTTTACTGTTCAAACGGGTTCATTCCTGAGTTCTGTGTCCTGGGGTCAAAATTGGTTTGGTCCATTTCAGCATCCAGGGTCATGTTTTTGACACTGAGTTGTAAGCTGTCGCTGAAAAGTAACCACGCTCAACTTCTCAGGTTTAAATGAAAAAAATCATCTAATTGCCAAACTCCCAATACATCGAGAAGAGAAGCGCAAGCTCTTACCATTCACCAGGGTGGTGTTTTCATTTTAAACAGCCATGTATGTTTTGTTTCAATCAATGAAATGAACAAAAAAATGGTTTTCCCAATTTTAGTTTTTTTTTCAGCGCTATTTTTCAGCGCTATAGCGGTGAAAAATAGCGCTGAAAAAAAAACTAAAATCGGGAAAACCATATATATAGCTGCAGAAAAGCGATAAAAATGCCGTAATTTAATCTTTGCTCATTTCACTCCTTGAGATAAAAAACCTGCATTTTTCTTTCACTGTGCAGAAAAATCGAGTTTAGAAAAGAAACATTGAGACCAAATTCGCACACATCGTTAATAATTTGTATGGGAAACAAAACATCATAAGGGCAAACTTCAAGCTAAGTAGTTACCTTTTGGGTATATCTAGGCTGAAATTAAATTTGATAAATTTTCTCTGTTATACGGCATGTCCAATGAACATTTACACAAAAATTTCCCAGTGTACAATTTTCAAAAAAAAATTCTAGGATAAGAGAGTGTTTAGATCGCGAGGGTAAAAATTACTTCTTTGAATTAATTTCCACAAAAACTGTATCATCAATCAGGGGCGGATCTAGGATTTTCTCGAGGGAGGCGGATTTTCAAAAAAAAAATTGAAAATTTTGACGACCTTTTTTTTAGGTAGACCAAATAGATTTCCCGAGCTCTCCTAAAACACTAAAAAGACGCTTTTTTGGCCAAATTTTCTACAGCGGAAGGCAACTTTTGAAAAAACAGGTCAAAAAAGCCGTTTTTGGGCACTTTTTGGAAAATTTCCCCCTCAAAAATAGTAAATGTTGGCGCCAAAGGCGCTTATTGAAAAATTTTAGGGTTAAAATTTAATTTCTTAAAAAGTACCAAAGGGGGACCCTTTGGGTTGGCAGGGGTCGAATCCCTGAGGGGCATGACACCCCCCCCCCCCCTTCATCACCTAAATCCGCCTCTGTCATCAGTAATTTAACAATTTATGCATTAGTTTCATTAATTTAAACCTAACTGCTTAAAGATTTAGAGCGCTTAAAGGTTTAGCGCCTAGCACGTTTCGGTACCATGACAAAATAAATTAGGCTAACTTGAGTTGTTTCTGGAGATTCTTGAGATACTCGTCTGGTTTGGCGCCTGGTTGGTTCAATCCTTTCTCGTGTGACTTGGTAAAAGTCTGCAGGAAGTCCATCAACTTCCTCTAAAATAATTGGAGAATTCTCACCAATAACAAAAAAACGAAAAGGCTTGACAAAAGCCTAACGTATAAGGGAGGAGAAAGTTCAAAACACTACACCGCCCAAACTATTATTTAACCCCATTCAATTTCTAGCGACTGACATAAATGATTTGAATTTCTAAACTGTTGGGCGCTCGCTTATACCAAAAATGAATAGGAATGTGCATACGGGAAAGTTTTTCACAGAAAGTTTCCGAAAATTGCCAAGAACAAAACTTTGGATTCCTTTTATTGCAGATCAGTGTTAACCGCAGAACGATGATCCAATCACGCAGCACATTTTATGATTAGAATAGAGGTCCAATAGATCTACACATCTAATTGCTACAACCATTTCAAAATAGTAGAAATAGCTCATTAACTTGGTATACAGAAAAAGAACACACAATGAAACAAGGATAACTGGTTACTGTGCAAGTCGCATATTGTGTTCCGACCAGTCTTAAAAATACAAAAATGTTTTTTTTTCGAAAGAATTTCGTTTTTTCTGCTTTGTGTGAAAAAAATCTAATAGAAAATTAAATAAAACTTAGGCATATTCGAAGCTCAAAATAAAACAGGCAAACTGTACCACAGGTTTTGAAAAAAAAATGACTAGAAAACAAAAAACCAAAAAGATTCGACATTTAAAAAAAAATTGCAGAAATGTTTTGAATTTTTGAAGTTTTTGATTCCCGAAATGGCGCTGAATAAACTCCAAAAAGTAAATTTACTCGAGTAAAACTTAGTTTTGACGGCTTAAATCAAGCATGATTAAGCTATTGTAAGCCTGCTCGTTCGCTTTAATCGCTGGAATTTAGACTTAATATCAAAAAAATTTAACCTGTTTTTCTCGATACTTGAAGAACTTTTTGCACTTTTTGCAAAGCCTAAAATGTTTTGACTGCATTTTAATTTCTATGCAAATTGAAGTAATAGATGAAACTTTTGTAATAAGAAAAAAAGTTTCAATTTCTTCAATATTTTTAGAAAATCATCCCCCCATGTAAAAAACAGAGTGATAATTTTTGCATATAGCAAAGTATTAAATAATTGCTTCTATCTCGTTTCCAGAAAGTAACAAAATTTTATGAGTTTGTATGGGTTTTCTATTCAAAAAAATACGAAAACCAGTTTCAAGAGAATCATTTTCCCTCAAGTTCCTTCTATATTACAAATTGCAGAATATTCCAGGCCACTTTGAAATTAACGAGAGAAAGAGAAAACAGTGATCATATTGGAGCAAAATATAAGCATTTTTATAAAGAAAAACGACACCAAACAACTTGAAGAACTTGAATACGAGCAAAAAATTTTGCATCAGACAAAAATTTCCAGATTGACGGAAATCTCCAAACGACAAAAAAAATTTGGATCAGACAAACAAAGAAATCAAAGTATCTAACACAAGCGAAACAGCATCTTTGTCGCTAATTACACGTTTCGTCGCTCACCGCGATTTTGCGTGTAATACCGGACATGTAAAAAATTAGAGGCAAGTACACTAACTTTGCATGTAACAAGTTTGACTAATAACTTTGTAATAATTATGAAACCAAACAGGACTGCTCGTATCAGTGCGAGGCCCTGAAATTTCCGACTGCCTTTTAAGGTTTATGGAGCAGTATTAACATTGAAAAGTTAAATGTAAAAAAAATGAAATTTTTTTCTGAAATTTGAAATTTTTAAAATAAAAATCATCATCCCACACGCCATTTAAAGTACAAAAGGATAGATTCCGTTTCTTGTAATCAATTATGGCAAGCAAGCTTCTTTCAACCATTTTGGAACGATTTCTAAGACGGATTAACTCTCCGCTCACTCGTTAATAGCGCGAAATATATCGCGCGTAATTGTCCCAAATTGGCAAAAATGGATATCTTTAAACCCCGATAACTTTGCGAAAAATGATCACAGGTAAAATATCTTTTCAAATTTGAGCTCGGGACAACGATACCCTTCGTGGTAATGATAAAAAAAAATTCCGTCAAAAATGACTAGCTAAAAAGTCGAAATTTGTCTGAAGAAAAAAAAACTACCCCGAGCACAAATATTCCGTTACTTTCATTTAAAATTAGGATTATTTAAATTTTTATGAATTAAATTTATAAAATCACTAAATGCTTACTTCTTAGTATTCAAATTTCAAAGCTTATGCTATTACATTGCAAAAGCTGCCTGCAACAAAAGTGCCACCAAAAGTAAGGCTAATAATTGCAACTAGAATGGGAAAAAAGTTGCTTCGCAGTATATCTCTTCGCTCCACTTGTGTGACAAAAACACAATCTAAAAAATTAAAACAAGGGAATACCACTCGTGCGAAAGACCAAAAGCGCAAAAATTATGTCAGTCTATCAGAATTCATAAATTCGAACAAAATAAGCAAAAAAATCAGTCAGTTTTGGACAGTGTTTAAAGCAGGGGCGGATTTAGGGGGGGGGGGGGGGCGGGGGGGGCGGACGCCTCCCCTCAGGGATTCGACCCCCTGCCGACCCAAAGGGTCCCCCCTTTGATACTTTTTCAGAAATCCATTTTTGGCCGACCGACCCTAAAATTTTTCTAAAGGCGCCTTCGGCTCTAATATATACTAACTTTGAGGGGGAGCGCGCGCCAAAAAAAAACGCAATTTTTTTGTCAAAATTTTTCAAAAAGTGCCCAAAAACGGCTTTTTTGACTGTTTTTTCAAAAATTTGCCTGCGGCGCAGAAAAATTTTGCCAAAATAGGGGCAAAACAGTGCTTTGGGAGAGCTCGAAAAATCAATTTGGTCGACCTAACAAAAAAAAAAGGTCGTCAAAATTTTGGAAAATTTTTCAAAAATCCGCCCCCCCTCGAGAAAATCCTAGATCCGCCCCTGGTTTAAAGCATTGATTGTTTGAAAACTTTCGCGCACCATTGCGTATGAGAATATCCCCGTTGAAAACAAGTTACACAGCCTCTGTTCATATAAGCAAACACTTCACGGGTGTATATTGAGAGTAATAAGCAATAGTTTGTTATAAAAATGATTCAAACTGAATTTTCGCGAAAATAAGCATGTCTTTTTGAAAGAGATAGAATTCATTTGAGAAAATGTCATCTTCTTAAACTAGTGGTTTACATGAAAAAATATGTTACTTGAATGCAATATTTTTGCTAATGGCAAGTCTAACATTAAAGATTAATGAAACCGGAAAGTTGAAACTTCATTCAGCAATGCGGGGTCTCAAACTCACTTAGCTACTTCATACGCAATTTACCTACTTGCATTGATTTGTCAGAACTATCTAACTTTTAGTCAGGCAAATTAACTCAATCATTTCAAGCAACACTGAGCTAAAAAGAGACATTGGGTAGATGTGACTTACTGCGTCCGGTCCATAGTCCACAATGGTGGCAGTGAGAGCCTTCAGTGCTTCTTCTCTCCTACTATCCATCTCCTTCTCCCATTTTGGGCTCCCTCTTCTGCAAAAAAAATATCTTTTGCTCATTTTTTTCCAACTCGTTTCATTGCGTTCATATAAAAAAAGATTCTTTAAAATAATTTGGACAAATCACCCGATAAATGACAAAAAAATTCAAATCAAGATTAAGTTCACTTGCTAGTAGCAAAATACCTTTTCCACTGGCTAGTTCTGAAGTAATCTGAGTCCTTGCCAAACAGCCAGTTGTCTTCCCCTTGTGGCATCAGAACTAGAGATCCCTTGGCTGGAAAAAGGCGTATTTTTATTCCCAATATGCGAATGGAAAAGTTTACTGTGTAACAGATACTTAATCAAGGTGTCATACGAATTATAAACTTTTCGATTTATTAACATAACGTATATTATTGTTCCGATCACTTTTGTAGAGTGCAAGAAACCATGGCATGGGGTGAGTAGACTCGTAAACAGTTATCCGTTTTCCAGACAAAATGTGCTCCCGATTTAATTCTACTGTAATTTTTACTTAATTTATTCTAATATTGCCGCTCATTCTTGCAACTTTTCACCTCTCATGCTTTCGTCCCTGAATTACGAAAACAAAAAAATTTGAGGAAAATCTTCCATATTTGTGAATTTCTTTATTCAAATCATTGTATCATTGTAGTCACAACTTTCCATGCTACCCACAAAGTAAACGACTATCCTTGCTGTATTTTTTTAAATATAGCCATGCCCAACAGTTATCGGGCCAACAAGAAATTAATAGCCCAAAAATCGAACGCGAATACGTTTAACCCAAAATGGATTGCTTAAAGAGTAGCGAATAAAGGTACTCGAGGGAATTTATCGCAAATTTTACCCGGTGTAATGATTCTTGGAAATTCTTTACATAAAATCGTATCTTAAAAGTTTAAATTTTCACAAAAAAAAAACAAAATTAGCTGAAAACAAGATAAAATTTTATGAAAAATATCGCTAAATTGCTGCCCAAATATCACATAACGCTACGCAGGGGCGGAGTTAGCTGTGGGAGCGGGGGGATGGGATGGAGCTCTTCTCTCCCCCCTCTCTCCCTCAGGGATTCGACCCCCTCACCAACCAAAGGGTCCCAAAGGGTATTATTTTATGACATTTTTAGGCCGACCAACTCTAAAATTTTTCTTAAGGTGCCTTCGCGCCAATATATACTATTTTTGAAGGGGAGCGCGCACCGAAAAAAACGCAATTTCCTTTTGGTAAAATTTTTTCAAAAAGTGCCCGAAAAGCAGCGCAAAATTTTAAGCCAAAATAGGCTCGTAATAGTGTTCTGGCAGTGCTCGGAAATCAATTTGATTGACCTGAAAAAAATCAAACAAATTTTTGAAAAAAAAAATGAATATCCACCCTCCTTCCCCGAGAACATCCTAGATCCACCCCTGACACTGCGGTATCTCAATCACAGTTATGTTATCAAAACGAATACAACAAAAACAAGAAAAAAAATCAAAACCCTATTTTAGTTGCTTTATAGAAAGGTACAGCAGGAAGATGACCTCCAGAAACTTATAGATTTTTATGGCTTGAATGATTTAAGGAAAATAATGTTGTAGTAATAATACTTTAAAAGGGGACTGAAAATTTCTCGTGTAGCATCTCCACACGCTAGTCACTAACCAGTCAAAGGGGTAAAAATTGGGAGTTTTTTTAGCTGAGAAAAATTTTCTATAATATTAGGACTAAGAGCCTCAATATGATAAATCAAACAGCGAGCTTAAAAACAACTTATGGGCATTTGAATTTTTACAAAAAACGCTCTAATCTGTCAGAATAATTGAATTATATTGGAAAAAAAATTATATACATTATATATTCACCACAGACACAGAGATGACTTGGCATCAGCATTGGAAAAGTTTTTCAAAGCAGTTTGGATGAAATCATAATTGCTGCAAAATGCTGGAACCTGATTTAAACTATATTTTATGATTGGATAAATTAAATGTTTTACCAATATAAAGTATTTAAAATTAACCAATCATGATCCATCTAACTAACAACCCACTTATTTGTAAGTGCTGAAGTTACTTGTAATTTCAGCACCAGAGAGATTTGAATTTAACTTAGAAATTAGTTGGACTCTCCCGAGCACTTCAGCAGCCGCAATAAACCAGTATACCCTAGATCTATTGAGCCTAGCAGAGACTAGTTAAACAACCTGAGACTAGATAGTATAAGAGTAAGATTAGGATCGGTATTAGACTAAGAAGTTGCACGAATCTATCCGGCCGAAAATAAGATAGCGTGACGAGCAGACGGTGTACCCTATCCGAAATTACTCTATGAGTTACACTACGGTCCTAACTCATCTGGTGCGACCATAAGTCTCGAACAAGACCTTACTAGATTAGAATTAACCAAAATAGATTAGAAATTAGACAAAAACATTTACAAAATGTTATACGACAATAATTTAATTGAAATGTCTCTCCGACTCAATAGATCAGAGCCAATATTCCGAACCATAATAGAACTACCCGGAATTGGAAGAAGACATCGAACCAAAGACGACATACGACAAAGTAGAAACTTGCCGTATAGTTATATGATAGTTCGGCAAAAGCCAGAACAAACTTTTATATTTCGAATACTACTTGCAATGAATTTAGATTTCCATTTGCAAACATAAAACCTTGAAGTTAATCTTCAAAATCATTCCAGGCGCTAAACAAAATTAATATTATACAATAACGATTGATAAAAAGATCTAAGATCGTTTTCTTATTCTGCAGTAATATACAAAACATGTTTGAAAAATATTTATTGGAAAATAAAAATAAAAATTAGTAGCATGACAATAAATGGTTAGTAATCATAAATCATCCTGTTGTTCCAGCTTCATCACCTAAAACATAACAGCAATCATCAACTCACTAATATCATCAAAACACTAAATCTTTCCTTTACACAAATTTAAAACTTTATTAAAATTTAAAGTCACTTAATTTAAAAACCAGATCATCAAGGCTTATCCTTGGATCTTAAATCATTTTCTACTTAATTAAATTTTAAATTTGATCATCAAGGCTTATCCTTGGATCAAACAGAACAACTTTGTTCTCCCCCACCCACTTAATTAGTGTCTAACGACCTCAAACGTCGATTCACTACCCAACCCTTTCTAAAGACCCAAGACTAATAGAAATTTTTAAACAAAACTAATCATCCAAATTAGGATAAACAGTGAAGAATTTCGGTTATTCATCCTTCACTTGACCCCCCCTCTTACCAGACCCAGGTTAAATCTTAGACTTAGTAAGTTTAAAATAGTACCTAACGAACTACTCGCGTTCTAATTATACCTGAACCTTGTGGATCGATTTACTATTCTCCAACCCTTGAACACAATCACTACCCCTAAGTAAGATTAAGTAAGTTAACACCTTAGCTTATACTAGTCACGAGAAAGTAAAAATCATTCTTCGGAATCGATATACTTTTCTCTCCAACCCTGAACAAAAAGACCCAGGTTAAGCTAACCAAAAAATCGTAAGAACTAACAGTTTAGGAAAATAAAAATCATTTAACAACTTTTTGCATCCGTCATCCTAAACCTTATGTCATTTAAAAACCTAGGAAATAAACAAACAATCATTTTACACAATTGTGAAATAGATAACAAAAAATACGACCTTGTAATCACACCTCATACACAAACAATTGGATACATTCGCACAAAACGACAAACACTAAAGAGAAAAATAATAACTAAACAAAGACAAATAACACGAAAAAGATTTTCAAAAAATCGAAACGCATTTTCAGAATCAGAAACCAACAGTTTAGACGAACTTTACAAACTAAAAGAATCAATAGATAAAAATTACCCACTTCACGATCAATTATATTTTTTTGACTCAGAAACAACTTCAAATTCATCACAAAGAGGAAAAAGAAGAATAAAAAAGCAGTACAAACACAAACCAGTACATTTATACAATTGGAATCAACCAATTCGACACATTAATAATTACATATTAACAGTCATCGAACGAAAAAATGAGCTCAACGCACACTCCAGGTGACGAAACTCCAGATGATGATGAAATCTTTCCCTTTATAGTAGACGCAGATACTGATAGAGGACAACACATATTTTGTCAAAATTTACTCGTAAATTTATTTGAACCCGGAATTAGTCCATGTAAAACAGAGTTCCCCGATGTAAAAATCAAAAGACAAATCATAGACCACTATCTGAAAGATATATGCAACATAACACAACAGTATGGAATCTACTCTATAGAATTCACTTCCCCAAACCATAATAATAGAACATATACTATACAAACAGACGATCTTGATTTAGAATTTTCAAAAGTTTTTTCAGAATATATAAAAAGCATCCAATACCATAACTCACAAAGAGCAAACTCCATTTTCACCAATGAAGTTTTCGCAATAATATATAGTTATATTTCGATATTAGAAAATGAACTACCATTAACAAATGTCTCACCGACAGAAACATCTAAACATTTAAGAGTACGACATGAAATCACACTACTCTCTAGTTATTTAAACATCATTAAAGAAAATTTCACGAAAGACGACGTTTCACAACATACCAAACACGATTTACAAAAAATTTTGGCATGGTTCATAATAGATTATTTCACACACAATATTGATTTAATTGCACAAGCAAGAAAAAATTTTAGACCCCAAAATTCGAACGATGATACCGCTATCACAGAACAATCAGATTATGTTTGGGACCCCGAATGGTCTCATCCCGCATTTATAAACTTCCCACAATCAATCTCAAGTCAAGCAATAGGTACAATATCTTACATAAGAGATTATGTAAGAGTAATACCATTAACAATTGATACAACACCATTAAACTATAATACATTTTTACCCGATACACAAAATAATAGTTTAAACTCTACAGTCATACACAACGAAAACCTCAATGGAACTAGGAATCTTACTCAACAAGATATCCAGACACCATCACACTTCATAAATGAAGAAATTGTACACACAACAACTACACAACAAAGTATTTCACCAATACGCCCAAATTTAACAACACCAAGAAATACAAATCCTTCACAAACACAGGTAACCTTACAATCAACCGTAAAACCTTCGGTTGCTCCTAAATATTCACATATGGATTACCAAACATACAGACCCATGACAATACCATCAAAAACACGCAAAACATTCACTAGAAATAACTTTGCAGACCATAATTATAATTATACACATCCGTCAAAAACAAATTATCAACCACAA